GTCCCCTGCTGATTTAGCACTACCATGATTTTTTTTTTTTTTTTTTTTCAACAAGTCGGCCGTCTCCCACTGAGGCAGGGTGACCCAATAAAGAAAGAAAATCCCCAAAAAGAAAATACTTTCATCATTCAACACTTTCACCACACTCACACATTATCACTGTTTTTGCAGAGGTGCTCAGAATACAACAGTTTAGAAGCATATACGTATAAAGATACACAACATATCCCTCCAAACTGCCAATATCCCAAACCCCTCCTTTAAAGTGCAGGCATTGTACTTCCCATTTCCAGGACTCAAGTCAGACTATATGAAAATAACCGGTTTCCCTGAATTTTTTTTTTTTTTTTTCAACAAGTCGGCCGTCTCCCACCGAGGCAGGGTGACCCAAAAAAGAAAGAAAATCCCCAAAAAGAAAATACTTTCATCATCATTCAACACTTTCACCACACTCGCACATTATCACTGTTTTTGCAGAGGTGCTCAGAATACAACAGTCTAGAAGCATACACATATAAAGACACACAACATATCCCTCCAAACTGCCAATATCCCAAACCCCTCCTTTAAAGTGCAGGCATTGTACTTCCCATTTCCAGGACTCAAGTCCGACTATATGAAAATAACCGGTTTCCCTGAATCCCTTCACTAAATATTACCCTGCTCACACTCCAACAGATCGTCAGGTCCCAAGTACCATTCGTCTCCATTCACTCCTATCTAACACGCTCACGCACGCTTGCTGGAAATCCAAGCCCCTTACCCACAAAACCTCCTTTACCCCCTCTCTCCAACCCTTTCGAGGACGACCCCTACCCCGCCTTCCTTCCCCTATAGATTTATATGCTTTCCATGTCATTCTACTGTGATCCATTCTCTCTAAATGACCAAACCACCTCAACAACCCCTCTTCTGCCCTCTGACTAATACTTTTATTAACTCCACACCTTCTCCTAATTTCCACACTCCGAATTTTTTGCATAATATTTACACCACACATTGCCCTTAGACAGGACATCTCCGCTGCCTCCAACCGTCTCCTTGCTGCTGCATTTACCACCCAAGCTTCACACCCATATAAGAGTGTTGGTACTACTATACTTTCATACATTCCCTTCTTTGCCTCCATAGATAACGTTTTTTGACTCCACATATACCTCAACGCACCACTCACCTTTTTTCCCTCATCAATTCTATGATTAACCTCATCCTTCATAAATCCATCCGCCGACACGTCAACTCCCAAGTATCTGAAAACATTCACTTCTTCCATACTCCTCCTCCCAATTTGATATCCAATTTTTCTTTATCTAAATCATTTGACACCCTCATCACCTTACTCTTTTCTATGTTCACTTTCAACTTTCTACCTTTACACACATTCCCAAACTCATCCACTAACCTTTGCAATTTTTCTTTAGAATCTCCCATAAGCACAGTATCATCAGCAAAAAGTAACTGTGTCAATTCCCATTTTGAATTTGATTCCCCATAATTTAATCCCACCCCTCTCCCAAACACCCTAGCATTTACTTCCTTTACAACCCCATCTATAAATATATTAAACAACCATGGTGACATTACACATCCCTGTCTAAGACCTACTTTTACCGGGAAGTAGTCTCCCTCTCTTCTACACACCCTAACCTGAGCCTCACTATCCTCATAAAAACTCTTTACAGCATTTAATAACTTACCACCTATTCCATATACTTGCAACATCTGCCACATTGCTCCTCTATCCACTCTATCATATGCCTTTTCTAAATCCATAAATGCAATAAAAACCTCCCTATCTTTATCTAAATACTGTTCACATATATGCTTCAATGTAAACACCTGATCTACACATCCCCTACCCACTCTAAAACCTCCTTGCTCATCCGCAATCCTACATTCTGTCTTACCTCTAATTCTTTCAATTATAACCCTACCGTACACTTTTCCTGGTATACTCAGTAAGCTTATTCCTCTATAATTTTTACAGTCTCTTTTGTCCCCTTTCCCTTTATATAAAGGGACTATACATGCTCTCTGCCAATCCCTAGGTACCTTCCCCTCTTTCATACATTTATTAAACAAAAGTACCAACCACTCCAACACTATATCCCCCCCTGCTTTTAACATTTCTGTCATGATCCCATCAGTTCCAGCTGCTTTACCCCCTTTCATTTTACGTAATGCCTCACGTACCTCCCCCACACTTACATTCTGCTCTTCTTCACTCCTAAAAGATGGTATACCTCCCTGACCAGTGCATGAAATTACTGCCTCTGTTTCTTCCTTAACATTTAAAAGTTCCTCAAAATATTCTCGCCATCTACCCAATACCTCCATCTCCCCATCTACTAACTCCCCTACTCTGTTTTAACTGACAAATCCATATTTTCCCTAGGCTTTCTTAACTTGTTTAACTCGCTCCAAAATTTTTTCTTATTTTCATTAAAATTTCTTGACAGTGCCTCTCCCACTCTATCATCTGCTCTCCTTTTGCACTCTCTCACCACTCTCTTTACCTTTCTTTTACTCTCCATATACTCTGCTCTTCTTATAACACTTCTGCTTTGTAAAAACCTCTCATAAGCTACCTTTTTCTCTTTTATCACACCCTTTACTTCATCATTCCACCAATCACTCCTCTTTCCTCCTGCCCCCACCCTCCTATAACCACAAACTTCTGCCCCACATTCTAATACTGCATTTTTAAAACTATTCCAACCCTCTTCAACCCCCCCACTACTCATCTTTGCACTAGCCCACCTTTCTGCCAATAGTCGCTTATATCTCACCCGAACTTCCTCCTCCCTTAGTTTATACACTTTCACCTCCCTCTTACTTGTTGTTGCCACCTTCCTCTTTTCCCATCTACCTCTTACTCTAACTGTAGCTACAACTAAATAATGATCCGATATATCAGTTGCCCCTCTATAAACATGTACATCCTGGAGCCTACCCATCAACCTTTTATCCACCAATACATAATCTAATAAACTACTTTCATTACGTGCTACATCATACCTTGTATATTTATTTATCCTCTTTTTCATAAAATATGTATTACTTATTACCAAATTTCTTTCTACACATAGCTCAATTAAAGGCTCCCCATTTACATTTACCCCTGGCACCCCAAATTTACCTACTACTCCCTCCATAACATTTTTACCCACTTTAGCATTAAAATCCCCAACCACCATTACTCTCACACTTGATTCAAAACTCCCCACGCATTCACTCAACATTTCCCAAAATCTCTCTCTCTCCTCTACACTTCTCTCTTCTCCAGGTGCATACACGCTTATTATAACCCACTTTTCACATCCAATCTTTATTTTGCTCCACATAATCCTTGAATTAATACATTTATAGTCCCTCTTTTCCTGCCATAGCTTATCCTTCAACATTATTGCTACTCCTTCTTTAGCTCTAACTCTATTTGAAACCCCTGACCTAATCCCATTTATTCCTCTCCACTGAAACTCTCCCACCCCCTTCAGCTTTGTTTCACTTAAAGCCAGGACATCCAGCTTTTTCTCATTCATAACATCCACAATCATCTCTTTCTTATCATCTGCACAACATCCACGCACATTCAGACTTCCCACTTTGACAATTTTCTTCTTCTTATTCTTTTTAGTAATCTTTACAGGAAAAGGGGTTACTAGCCCATTGTTCCCGGCATTTTAGTTGACTTTTACAACACGCATGGCTTACGGAGGAAAGATTCTTATTCCACTTCCCCATGGATATAAAAGGAAAATTAATAAGACCAAGAACTATTAAGATAAAATCAAAGAAAACTCAGATGAGTGTGTATAAATAAATGTGTACATGTATGTGTAGTGTGACCTAAGTGTAAGTAGAATCCCTTCACTAAATATTACCCTGCTCACACTCCAACAGATCGCCAGGTCCCAAGTATCATTCGTCTCCATTCACTCCTATCTAACACACTCATGCACGCTTGCTGGAAGTCCAAGCCCCTCGCCCACAAAACCTCCTTTACCCCCTCTTTCCAACCCTTTCAAGGACGACCCCTACCCCTCCTTCCTTCCCCTATAGATTTATATGCTTTCCATGTCATTCTACTTTGATCGATTCTCTCTAAATGACCAAACCACCTCAACAACCCCTCTTCTGCCCTCTGACTAATGCTTTTATTAACTCCATACCTTCTCCTAATTTCCACACTCCGAATTTTCTGCATAATATTTACACCACACATTGCCCTTAGACAGGACATCTCGACTGCCTCCAACCATCTCCTCGCTGCTGCATTTACCACCCAAGCTTCACATCCATATAAGAGTGTTGGTACTACTATACTTTCATACATTCCCTTCTTTGCCTCCATAGATAACGTTTTTTGACTCCACATATACCTCAACGCACCACTCGCCTTTTTTCCCTCATCAATTCTATGATTAACCTCATCCTTCATAAATCCATCCGCCGACACGTCAACTCCCAAGTATCTGAAAACATTCACTTCTTCCATACTCCTCCTCCCCAATTTGATATCCAATTTTTCTTTATCTAAATCATTTGATACCCTCATCACCTTACTCTTTTCTATGTTCACTTTCAACTTTCTACCTTTACACACATGTTCCCCTCTCTGAGGGCAAACACTGTTTGTCTTGGACCACACTGACCAGGGCTTCCCTTGCCAATTCTGCTAGTTGCCTGGAAGTTATCATCATGGAGTGCTAAACCTGTAGGGATTATACAGTGCTGGGGAGGGTGATGAAAGGCACTGAGGCTTAATTACCTGGAAGTTGTAGAGCATGTGACCCTTCTCATCATGATTAATCTCGATAACCTACGATCCTGAAGTATTTATGACCCTTTTGGGTTTAGTGCTTAAAAATAATAATTATTATTATGAAGTACTTAAAATGGGTATCTACCAATTATGTGGTGGGGGATTAAAAACTTCACATGTCAATGAAGATATAGCTGGAGACTAAAGGTGTCCTGTCACAGGTCAGTAAAACTAATTCTGTACTGTATGTTGAATTAACCCTATTTATTATAGCTTTTCAATCTACACCTTGAGATTGTTGTGTTGTCCTCTAATCTGTTCATCCTGATTTATTTTTCCTTATAAATAGAAGAATAAAATTCCTCTTCAAGTTCATAAAGGTCTGAGGCCATGTCATCACGTAATGCCATTAGCTTCTGGTCTGCCTCTTGACTCTTCGTTTTGAAAATTTGGGAATTTTGTGTAATGGCTTCATTTACTGAAGGGAAGTCATTGAGTATAAGGTACTGTTTAACATCAGCAACTAACTTCATTAGTGATTCTGCAGCTCTCACCTGAAAAGATAAAAAAAACTAGATAATGAACCATAAAATATGAATAAAAAAAAAGTTCTCTAGCCACTTCAATAACCTGGCCAGTTTCAACCAATGACAGAAGATGAGGAGCATACTGCTCTGGTGATGCCTAAAATGTCCAGATTCCATTCAAGGAAAGCCCCTTGTTGGTGATGTGTCATGCATGTCGAGTTTTTTTTTTTTTTTTTTTTTCCAAGACAGTTGATTTTTTTAAAGATGATTTTTTAAGACAATGTATGTGGGTGTACCATGCTGGCCTAATAAGATTCATCCAACTAGATGTATCTCTATACATATTAGGAAGATTAGTATGGGGCTCCACAAACCATACCCCTCAAGGAAGGTTCCTTGATGTTGGTGAGGGGCTCTTGATTTAGGGAATTGGATCTGTGCTCTGGTTCCCCGAATTAAGCCTGAATGCCTTCCACATCCCCCTCCCCCCCAGGCGCTGTATAATCCTCCGGGTTTAGCGCTTCCCCCTTGATTATAATAATAATAATCCACAAACCATAAATGCAGGTTATTACAGGGACCTGAGCTAGAGCAGGTCACAGTCATGCTAATGTAAGACTTGTCTATGAATTAATACTTGCATTTGTGGTCAATGAGCCCCATGCTAATCTTCGTAATACATGTAGAAATACACCCGACTGGATGAATCTTATTAGACTGGCATGGTATAGTGGGTAGAACACTGGCTTGCTGGTTGAGAACTGGCTTGTCATGGGTTCCAACCCTCTTCGGCAAGTTGTTCACAATCATGTTACAATTTCACTAATCGTGCTTCTGTGGGCTATTATCATTACAGTATAGCACAGTACAGCCTCTCCTCACTTAGCAATGCACTCGTTTACTGATGACTTGGACTTACAAGCTCTCTGACCAGTATGCATACCTAAATAATGTATATTAGAGCTGATTTCCTCTATTCTGTTTATTACAATATACAGTACACTACTGTATAAACATTTAAAAATATACCAGAAATGTTATAAATGTTGCAAAGGTGACATTAAAACAATATAAAAAATGGCTGACACAAGCCCACTACCATCATAGTATGCTCTTTTCTTAGCGACGAAGTCATTTACTGACATGGTCTTAAGAACGGAACTCTGTCATTAAGTGAGGAGAGGCTGTAATAATAATAATCATCATCTTTATCTCTACAAGTACATGTACAAGGCATACAGACCTAGCTGACATCAATGACATACTACTACGTATATAGAAAGCCCCTTGTTATGCAGAGCATTTTGGGCAAATTAAAGTCAATTTTGTCCCCACGATGTGGCCTACAACAGTCGACTAATACCCAGGTACCCATTTTACTGATAAGTGAACACAGTCGGCAGGACACACATCCTAATGTTTTGCACCCATACTGGGAATCAATCCCTGGACCTCAGTGTGTGAGATAAGTGTGCTAGCAGTCAATCTATGGGACACCTGAAACCTCTCCTGATGCTAATACAGTTACAGAAGTATAATAATACATATAGTATGAGAATCTATTTTTCACCTTTTTCTAATACGGGACCATATACAGCCTCTCCTCACTTAGCAATGTACTCGTTTACCAACACCTCGGACTTACAAGAGGCTCTCTGACTAAATAATGTACAGTGGTACCTCAGGACACGAACTTATTTCGTTCCAAAAGGCTGCTCGAGTGCCGATACCGAATCTGTTCCCATAAGGAATAATGTAAATTAGATTAGTCCAATTCAGACCCCCAAAAATACACTTATAAAAGCACTTACATAACTGTTCGAGTTTTGAGCTGTTCGTATCCCAAGGTACCACTGTATATTAGAGCTGATGTCCTCTAGTCTGTTAATTTGAATATACAGTACACTACTGTATAAACACTAAAAATATACTAGAAATGTTATAAATGGTGCAAAGGCGACACTGAAACAATATCAAAGATGGCCGACACAAACTTACTACCACTATAGTATGCTCCCCACTTAGCAATGAATTCGTATAGCGACATGGTGTCAGGAACGGAACTCCGTCATTAAGTGAGGAAAGGCTGTATAGTTACCAGACAAAAGGAGTACACAGTAGAAAATAACATTCATTCATGCTACAAAGAGCTATGTAGAGCAGACCAATTCATAAATAACACCAACACTACCATTTCCATTATAGTGCTTTGTTGCTCGTGATTGTACTTTCATAATAATTATTATTATACTTATGGAAGCACTAAACACACATGGATCGTACAGAGCCTGGGGAATGGAAAGCAGTCTGGTTTGACACAGGGAAATGGAAATCCAGTCCAATTACCTAAATCAAGAGTTCAACACCAGTATCAAGGCACCTCTATAGAAGGGATATTTATGATATAGGTGTATAAATAAGCAGAAGAATAAATGGGGACTTGAACCATGGTTCATACATACAGTAGTCCCAGACTATATGAAAAGACGACAATTCAAGTCCCCATCCATTTTTCCATTTATTTACCACCAGCCATATATATAGGTACAGTATATGGTAATTTTCACCTACCATGTTAGCAGACCGCACTTGTATTTGGAAATTGATCTCTTCAACTTGTGTCATTCTGTTCACCTGACATTCTTCTTCCACTACACCCAGCTTTACAATCTCTGAAAGAAAATGCAATACAATTTTAATAAAACAGCCAGCAAAGGTACACTTCAAATTGTGTAATTCAGTTTATGCCATCACTACCAAAACCAATTTGGCAAATCCCCCCCCAGTACCAACAATGCCACCAGTCCGATGACATTCTTCTTTGCAAATATACAGGGTCTAAAGCCAGCAACAAACAACAAAATACCTTTCATCCGTGGACTGCTTGCAGAGGCAAAGGCAATGTTCGGCTTTCACTGAGACCCACAAAGGATCACTTGGACAACGAAATATGGATCCCAGGTTACAACCTATACAGATGTGACAGAGTAAACAGGCAAAAGGGGAGGGTTGGCCTGTACATTGCAGAGTCACTTGTTTGCACAGAGCTGCTTAATGCCTCAAATGATGTAGTGGAAGATTTAGCAGTAAAGGTCGAGAACCAAAACCTAGTCATTGTGGTAGTCTACAAGCCTCCGGATGCAACATCCCAGCAATTCCAGGAACAGCTGTTAAAAATTGACCACTGTCTGGAAAATCTTCCAGCTCCTGCACCCAACATCTTGCTCCTGGGGGATTTCAACTTAAGGCACCTAAAATGGAGGAATATAGCAAATAATATTGTTGCAGTAATAACACCAGGAGGCAGCTCTGATGAAAACTCACACTCACACGAGCTTTTAAAAATCTCTCCCAACAAATTCAATTTAAACCAGCAAATAATAGAGCCTACTAGACTGGAGAATACACTAGACCTCATCTTCACTAATAATGATGATCTGATAAGAAATGTCACCATATCAAAAACAATATACTCAGATCACAACATAATTGAGGTTCAGACATGTATGTGTGGAGCCCCAGACCGACATAATGAGATTAGTCACGAGGAAGCATTCACCAAATTCAACTTCAATAACAAAAACATAAAGTGGGACTAAGTAAACCAAGTCCTAACCGATATAAGCTGGGAAGATATACTAAGCAACACAGACCCCAACTTATGCCTAGAACAGATTAACTTGGTGGCACTCGATGTATGCACAAGGCATATTCCTCTAAGAAAAAGTTGGAGTAGATGTAAAATAGAGAGACAGGCGCTCCCTTTACAGGCGATGGAAAAGAATAACAGAGCGGCTAAAAGAGGTCAATATATCTGAAATGCGTAGGGAGACACTGGTCAGAGAAATAGCAAGCATCGAACTTAAGCTAAAGGAATCTTATAGGAGTCAGGAATTGCGGGAAGAACTAAAAGCCATAAATGAAATCGAAAGAAACCCAAAGTATTTCTTCTCCTATGCCAAATCAAAGTCGAGAACAATGTCCAGTATTGGGCCCCTACTTAAACAAGATGGGTCCTACACAGATGACAGCAAGGAAATGAGTGAGCTACTCAAGTCCCAATATGACTCAGACAGAGTCGAAGATCAAAATGAATTTTTTATGAGAGCGCCACAGAATTTGGTTAACACAAGCCTATCCGATGTTATCCTGACACCAAATGACTTCAAACAGGCGATAAATGACATGCCCATGCACTCTGCCCCAGGGCCAGACTCATGGAACTCCGTGTTCATCAAGAACTGCAAGAAGCCCCTATCACGAGCCTTTTCCATCCTATGGAGAGGGAGCATGGACACGGGGGTCGTCCCACAGTTACTAAAAACAACAGACATAGCCCCACTCCACAAAGGGGGCAGTAAAGCAACAGCAAAGAACTACAGACCGATAGCACTAACATCCCATATCATAAAAATCTTTGAAAGGGTCCTAAGAAGCAAGATCACCACCCATCTAGAAACCCATCAGTTACACAACCCAGGGGAACATGGGTTTAGAACAGGTCGCTCCTGTCTGTCTCAACTATTGGATCACTACGACAGGGTCCTAGATGCACTAGAAGACAAAAAGAATGCAGATGTAATATATACAGACTTTGCAAAAGCCTTCGACAAGTGTGACCATGACGTAATAGCGCACAAAATGCGTGCTAAAGGAATAAGAGGAAAAGTCGGTCGATGGATCTATAATTTCCTCACTAACAGAACACAGAGAGTAGTCGTCAACAGAGTAAAGTCCAAGGCAGCTACGGTGAAAAGCTCTGTTCCACAAGGCACAGTACTCGCTCCCATCTTGTTCCTCATCCTCATATCCGACATAGACAAGGATGTCAGCCACAGCACCGTGTCTTCCTTTGCAGATGACACCCGAATCTGCATGACAGTGTCTTCCATTGCAGACACTGCAAGGCTCCAGGCGGACATCAACCAAATCTTTCAGTGGGCTGCAGAAAACAATATGAAGTTCAACGATGAGAAATGTCAATTACTCATATATGGTAAACATGAGGAAATTAAATCTTCATCAGAGTACAAAACAAATTCTGGCCACAAAATAGAGCGAAACACCAACATCAAAGACCTGGGAGTGATCATGTCGGAGGATCTCACCTTCAAGGACCATAACACTGTATCAATCGCATCTGCTAGAAAAATGACAGGATGGATAATGAGAACCTTCAAAACTAGGGAGGCCAAGCCCATGATGACACTCTTCAGGTCATTTGTTCTATCTAGGCTGGAATATTGCTGCACACTAACAGCACCTTTCAAGGCAGGTGAAATTGCTGACCTAGAAAATGTACAGAGAACCTTCATGGCGCGCATAACGGAGATAAAACACCTCAATTACTGGGAGCGCTTGAGGTTCCTAAACCTGTATTCCCTGGAACGCAGGCGGGAGAGATACATGATTATATACACCTGGAAAATCCTAGAGGGACTAGTACCGAACTTGCACACGAAAATCACTCACTACGAAAGCAAAAGACTTGGCAGACGATGCAACATCCCCCCAATGAAAAGCAGGGGTGTCACTAGCACGTTAAGAGATCATACAATAAGTGTCAGGGGCCCGAGACTGTTCAACTGCCTCTCAGCATACATAAGGGGGATTACCAACAGACCCCTGGCAGTCTTCAAGCTGGCACTGGACAAGCACCTAAAGTCAGTTCCTGACCAGCCGGGCTGTGGCTCGTACGTTGGTTTGCGTGCAGCCAGCAGTAACAGCCTGGTTGATCAGGCTCTGATCCACCAGGAGGCCTGGTCACAGACCGGGCCACGGGGGCGTTGACCCCCGGAACTCTCTCCAGGTAAACTCCAGGTAATAACTTATCTATCTTCAGTGAGCAGCACTGTATGACCCTCGTGAGTTTAGTGCTTTCTTTTGATTATAATCATAATAATAATACCTTTGAGCTGTTTTCACTTCCCACATAAATATTGTGATTTATTACATTACAGAATTAATACTTTTGCTTGCTGTGCATTCACCATTTTTAAACCATGCTAATTATTCTGGAAAGAGGGCAGCAAATATAAATACAGTATGTACTTTAACCTTTAAACTTACCCATAAAATTATCAAGGATAGATTTGACATCATCCTTAAGCCTTTTATTGTATGACTTGAGTAGTGCTTCCCGACTCTGAGGTGGTTTTCCTTGTTGTGCCATTACAACATTAAATTATCACTGTAATAAATCAAATAACAATTATATAAACATTTGTGCAGTACTGTATGACCCTAGTGAGTTTAGCACTTAGTTATGATTGTAAAAATAGTAATAATAATAAACAATTGTGTTAAAACAAAAAAATCTTAAAGTGTAAGTGACAAAAATTGCTTCAGTATTCATTATAATAAGTAATAATATAATATATAATAAAATATCTTATTTTCTTCTTTATATACAGTATTGTACTTACAATTAAACCAAACTTAAAATGCTGCATCACTTCTCAAGTGCAATGTTTAACTAGTGAAGCTTCCAGGTGTAATTAAGTTTATATAGGTACAGATACACATAAGTACAATTATCATAAATAGTGTAAATTACCTAGGATAACCCAAAAGAAATACGTCACTTTATCCTAAATTTTTTGGGGTTACCCCTAAGTAATTTACACTATGCATGATAATTGTACTTCTGTGTACCTGAACCTAAATAAATTTACCAAAAAAGTAAAAGTAGCTGCATGACCCTTGTGGGTTTAGCACTTAGTTCTGATTGTAATAACAACTCGTGGTAGTCCTAGACCTTTAACTTAATGTATGAATCTTATGCCTAAACAATGAGTATAACTATTGTAGATAATTTTATAATTATTTATATTATGCTCCCCCTCAAGGAAGGTACCTTTTGTTGGTGAGGGGTTCTTGATTTAGGGAATTGGATCTGTGCTCCAGTTCCCCGAATTAAGCCTGAATGCCTTCCACATCCCCCCCCCCCCAGGCGCTGTATAATCCTCCGGGTTTAGCGCTTCCCCCTTGATTATAATAATAATAATAATAATATATTATGCTCAATAACCCAAATGGAGACAGGAACTCAGGAGATTAATTAATCTGTTTATTTCGACCCCCTTCTGGGATCCTCTTAAGTGGCTATTATATTCACAGGGAAGCATTAAACCCGTAGGGTTCATACAAAGCTTGGGGAATAGACAGTAAGTTATTTCGGTGCTGGTCCATATAAATAAAATTACCATATAGAGAAACATATATGTAAACAACCTATGATAACCCCAAGACACTGTGACTTATTTCCATCGGGTTGTAATCTGATAAGTGATCCTTACGAGTTTACCGCTTACTTATAACAATAATGATAGGATACAACCTGAGGGGTGAAAAGCTCCAATAACTGGGATAAGAGAGATTTACACTAACAACAAAGCATCTCCGTGATAATTACGTGTTATCATTATAATCGTGGGGAAGCGCTAAACCCGTAGGATTATATAGGTTGGGTGGCCCGGTGGCCTGGTGGCTAAAGCTCCCGCTTCACACACGGAGGGCCCGGGTTCAATTCCTGGCGGGTGGAAACATTTCGACACGTTTCCTTACACCTGTTGTCCTGTTCACCTAGCAGCAAATAGGTACCTGGGTGTTAGTCGACTGGTGTGGGTCGCATCCTGGGGGACAAGATTAAGGACCCCAATGGAAATAAGTTAGACAGTCCTCGATGACGCACTGACTTTCTTGGGTTATCCTGGGTGGCTAACCCTCCGGGGTTAAAAGTCCGAACGAAATCTTATCTTATAGTGCCTGTGGGGAGGGATGGAAGGTATTCAGGCTTAATTCAGGAAACTGGAGCACAGATCCAATTCCCTAGATCAAGAGCCCCTCACCAACATCAAGGAACCTCCCTTGAGAGGCCTCCGTGATAGAGGGTCACTCAGTAACACAAATGCTGATATGAATGACTGTGAATTAATTACACAATCTCATTTTACTAACAGAAAAACAAAACTCAAACTTACTGATGGCGTTGTCATTAGGGGTTGTGAGGGCCAGCAAAGCTTTGAGCCTTACTGAACCCTGATGCACCTTCCCAGTACCAAACCCTGATGAAGCTTCCCAGTACCAAACCCTGATGAAGCTTCCCAGTACTGAACCCTGCTGCAGCTTCCCAGTACTGAACCCTGCAGCTTCCCAGTACTGGACCTTGCTGCAGCTTCCCAGCACCAAACCCTGTTGCGGCTTCCTAGTTTGAGCCCTGATGTAGCTTCCCAGTACTGAACCCTGATGGAGCTTCCTAGTACCAAACCCTGCTGCAGCTTCCTAGTACTGAACCCTGCTGCAGCTTCCCAGTACCAAACCCTGATGAAGCTTCCCAGTACCAAACCCTGATGCAGCTTCCCACTACTGAACCCTGCTGCAGCTTCCCAGTACCAAACCCTGATGAAGCTTCCCAGTACCAAACCCTGATGCAGCTTCCCAGTACCAAACCCTGATGAAGCTTCCCAGTACCAAACCCTGATGCAGCTTCCCAGTACTGAACCCTGCTGCAGCTTCCCAGTACCAAACCCTGATGCAGCTTCCCAGTACTGAACCCTGCTGCAGCTTCCCAGTACTGAACCCTGATGCACCTTCCCAGTACCAAACCCTGATGCAGCTTCCCAGTACCAAACCCTGATGCAGTTTCCCAGTAACAAACCCTGATGCAGCGTCCCAGTACCAAACCCTGATGCAGCGTCCCAGTACTGGACCCTGCTGCAGCTTCCCAGTACTGAAGCCTGCTGCAGCTTCCAGTACCAAACCCTGCTGCAGCTTCCCAGTACTGAGCCCTGATGCAACTTCCCAGTACTGAACCCTGCAGCTTCCCAGTACTGGACCTTGCTGCAGCTTCCCAGCACCAAACCCTGTTGCGGCTTCCTAGTTTGAGCCCTGATGTAGCTTCCCAGTACTGAACCCTGATGGAGCTTCCTAGTACCAAACCCTGCTGCAGCTTCCTAGTACTGAACCCTGCTGCAGCGTCCCAGTACCAAACTCTGCTGCAGCTTCCCAGTACCGAACCCTGATGCAGCATCCCAGTACCGAACCCTGATGCAGCTTCCCAGTATTGACCCCTGATACATCTTTCCAGTACCAAACCTTGCTGCAGCTTCCCAGTAGTAAACTCTGATGCAGCTTCCCAGTACCGGACCATGCTGCAGCTTCCCGGTACCAAACTCTGCTGCAGCTTCCCAGTACCGAACCCTGATGCAGCATCCCAGTACCGAACCCTGATGCAGCTTCCCAGTATTGACCCCTGATACATCTTTCCAGTACCAAACCTTGCTGCAGCTTCCCAGTAGTAAACTCTGATGCAGCTTCCCAGTACCGGACCATGCTGCAGCTTCCCGGTACCGAACCCTACTGTATCTTCCCAGTACTGAACCCTTATGCAGCTTCCCATTACTGAACCCTGCTGCAACTTCCCAGTACCAAACCTTGCTGCAACTTCCCAGTACCGAACCCTGCTGCAGCTTTCCAGTACTGAACCCTGCTGCAGCTTCCCAGTACTGAACCCCACTATCTTCCCAGTACTGAACCCTTATGCAGCTTCCCATTACTGAACCTTGCTGCAGTTTCCCAGTACTGAACCCTACTGCAGCTTTCTAGTTACAAACGTGAAAAAGTAAATTCCCATTTAATTCAGATAGATCCCAATGGAAATAAGTCACCTAGTCTGACTTTTTTGCGTTGCCATAGGCAGTTTAAACATATGTTACTTTGTATGACAATTTGTGTAACTGTATCTACGTGTACCTGTACTTAAATAAACTTGCACCGGCAGAGCCAGACACCCACAATCAATCGAGATAAAAACCGGCTTTCCTGTGCCTTAAAAATTCGCAGAGCAGCAAAAGAGGAGCTGATGAATGGCATACCAGTCCAGTTGTTCCTTAGGTTTTATATTATTATATTCATAACTAAGCACTAAACCCAGAAGGATCATATACCGCTGCTCAGGTTGTGTATGATTTATTAGTTGTGCCACCTGAGTGGCTACTTTATGGTGAGTCCCATGCTCTACCTGTGACGATGATGTGGCTTCGTTATCAATATTCAGGACCGAACAGCCTGACACAACTGCACTCGTTTAAGAAGGCAAATTTCCTGGGTCTTCCTCAATGGAAATATAAACAGTTTATTTCTTTTTGTAGTATAAAAATGTAGTTTTACATGTAATAAAATATTGTTAAGTACAAAGAAAGCCATTAGCATGCAGAGTATTTCGGTCAGACAACTAATTGTGTACTTTGATTTTTGGGATTATCCTAGGTAATTTACATTATATATGAAAATTACACTTACGTGTACCTGTGCTTAAATCTAACTTACTCAGCAACGTAAACAACAATATACAGAACCCGAATATTTGATTTTCCTCTGAAAAACAAACACGAATCCAAATATTTGACTCAGTCGTGATAACCATAAAAATATAATTGTTAAATAAATCAGCTGTATGGAATTAGTTACAACGAGAAGAGATAGAAAAGGGGTTAAAGAAAATTTAGTTTACATGAACATTAAATAGGTAAAACTAGACTAATATGCAAGAAATCACTTTCCTCCCTTTTTGTTGTTTCATTATTTAAGAACCTGACAGCTGTCTTCCTGAACTGGTTCATGCTAAGACTCTCCTTGACATGTTCAGACAATCCGTTGTACTCGTGTATTGCTATATAATAAATGGTGTTTGAAGCCACCGGGTGGCCCGGTGGTCTGGTGGCTAAAGCTCCCGCTTCACACACGGAGGGCCCGGCGGGTGGAAATTCCGACACGTTTCCTTACACCTATTGTCCTGTTCACCTAGCAGCAAATAGGTACCTGGGTGTTAGTCGACTGGTGTGGGTCGCATCCTGGGGGACAAGATTAAGGACCCCAATGGAAATAAGTTAGACAGTCCTCGATGACGCACTGACTTTCTTGGGTTATCCTGGGTGGCTAACCCTCCGGGGTTAAAAATCCGAACGAAATCTTATCTTATCTTATCTTACCACCTACTCTAGGTAGTATAAAATTGCAGTTACTTTCCCTAGCCTAGTACATTATACCCAAAACAAAGAAATGGTTATAATCATAACCATAATTTTTAAAGGGGTGGAGGGGTAAGCCAGTGGAAGGCCTCGGTCAGATGACCAAATGCTCCAACTGAACGTCATCATATGACTAAGACCTGCGTCAGGAAACACTTGTCCTGTTTCCTGACAAATATTATACCAACCTAGTACATGTACTGGGGAGGCAATGCCTTGGTAAATGAGAGGCAGGTTAGTTCCTAGGAAGGGGAGATCAGATTAAACCCCTCACCAGAGTCGAGGAACCTCTCTTCAGGGATGCTTAACTTCATTATACTCTGTCCATCGGTCATTCGGTCGTAGTGCCAAAAGAGCTGATGTTTGATACATCAGCTTTTTTTCTTCTTAATCTGCGGATTTCTCCGGTTAGAGGGAAAGCCGGTCACTGATTATTATTATAATCAAAAAAAGAAGCGCTAAGCCACAAGGGCTATACAGCGCTAGCCGGTCACTGAGCAAACGTTTAGTGGGGTCAGCCTTTTAACCCAACACGAAGGAAAAGAAGTTTATCTGTAAACTCATACTTATTTCAGGCATTACAGTATATTTAGCATTATTCTCTAAGTGACTAATTGTGGCCATGATCTAACACACTAACAATACAAAAGGAAATAGTCACTCTGACTTTTTTGGGTTATCTTAAGTAATTTACACTGTGTAAGATAATTATAATTATGTGTACCTGTACCTAAATAAACTCGCTTAATAAACTTTACTGACCTTAATATCGCTGGGTGTGGTGCGGCGTCTTCTGTCGATAAACTCGTTTTCTTGTATAGTCAAGTATTATTTCAGATTGTCCGTATCATGTGTTCATTGAAGATTACGGGGACGATTTCAGATGAATATAATATGGATATGAAATTGATAAAATGTAAATATTAATAATAATATGGCAAGAAATAGAGAGAAAAGTGTAATATGGTCTAGTGGTTGAGCCAGACAAGACACGACGTGTAAACAATAACACGCCGAGACACGCGTTGTTCGTCTCCTGGGAGACATTTATTTTTCTTCGGAGGTAATTTATTTTTCTGTTATTGTCTAGAAAAAGTACATAGCTTATACCTGTGAGTGGGTTGCTTTTGTGTGTCTGAGCTGTTCTTACCTAACGAGACACTGTCACAACTATGCGCTACTCGGTATGTCAGAGGAAAGTCTTGATAAGAGCACAAGAAAGAAGGAGCACTGCAACAGGTCTATTGGATTAGGCAAAATTAAATCGCTGGTCCGTATTCGAGCAATTCGGTATTCGAACGCTTTGTTCGGTAAAAAAAATTGTTCAGTAGTCAACCGTTTACTCGTCACTCCACCAAACACAACCTGCCGGAACTTCGCTGTAAACTATTTCGTGTTCCTTCGCATTTTTTTTTATATTATTTATATAAAAGTCACCATAGGGCCTATGAAGATTAGTGATAATAGCCACCCAAAAAGAAAATTGATTGAGAAAAAAATTGTTCGATACTCGAACAGCTTTCCTGGACGAATTAAGTTCGAGTACTGAGGTTCCATTGTATTTACCGATGAATATAATTTCCCATTTCACAAAAAAAAATTGGTAGTAAATTGCTTGATATTATTGTCTAAATTTCGGTTTTCTTTTCTTAAAACTTTTAGTTATTTTTCTGATGGAGAATTAAGCCTCCAACACTCATGCTGAATAATTCGCAAGGATCTAGAGCTTCACAAACTATGATATAGTTACGTTTTTATTAATTTCTATTAGAAAGCATATATTCTTTAATCTCATTAATGCTGTATTCATTTTCAGGTGGTTAAACCCATTTCAACTAGTTTATTATATACTAATGCAATCACAATGTGATGAATTGCAAACAAACTGATGCATGGCAGTTTTAATGCTCATTTATTTGGTACAGAGTGTAGATGATACCAGTAGAGGGGAACTAATTATGTAGAGGTTACTTAAAAGTTTATTTCAAATTTGATTCAGGCATTACAGACAAAAAGATTTTACAGACATATTAAAGAAATTTGATAATCAAGATTTAAATTGATGTTTTGTATGACATTAAACCTTGATACATAATAGATAATTTAATTTAATGTATACTTTCTTGTGTGTAATCATAGTAGCAATAAAGTAGGTGGTCTAATTTCTAAAAAAAAAAAAAAAAAAAAAAAAAAAAAAAAAAAAAAAAAAAAAAAAAAAAAAAAAAGTCAGTATATTGTAATTACACAGTATCTGTAGATACTAAGGGCAAATTTTATATTAACGTGTTATTGGAAGATTTGTCAATTAAAAGTTATATCAGAAACGTATTTAAAAAAAAATTATGGCAGTGGGGAGTTCAAAGATACTATTTAATTAAGAAGTGCTGTAATGATTTCCCTCTACAGCCCTTCATTAGCATCAGGATTTCCTTCAAATAACAATTGGTTTTAATGATAATTCATTTGTTTCTATATTTGTAGCAATTTATTCATTGTTTATTTTTCCACAGATTTATCGAGTTCTGAAAATCCGTGAATAAGAGATGGTAAAAACCCACATTACCACGAGTCCACAGCAATGTTTACAGGCTTAAACCACCACACTGTGATGCATGCACATATATAAATAATTTAAAAAACATTGCAGGTTTTCCACATCCAAGATTTGCCAAAAGAATTTTTTTACTATACATGTATATGTATATATAATTTAATATATTTATTAATAAAACTTCAATAAAAAATGGATGAACCTGCAGAAGAGATCGAGAGAAAAAAAATAAAAACTTTTGTGTTTATAGATATTGAAGCTACTGGTTTACCTGGAGATGATCCCAGAATTTTAGAACTTTGTATGATAGCTGTGTCCAGAGAGGACCTCCTTAGCATGAACAGTCCCAAACAGTGTGACTCTGCTGACAGAAAGCAAAACAGTGTTGCACCACCATTACCACGTGTGCTACACAAGTATACCAGACTCTTTTATCCCTGGAAGTTGATCACACCTAAGCTTGAAAAAATAACTGGGCTTAGTAATGACCTGCTTCATCGTTTGCCAAGCTTTAGTCAGAATAGTGCAGAGGCAATTAGTCTGTTTTTAGAGTTACCTAGGCCTCTAGCAATTGTAGCACATAATGGTGACAGATATGACTTCCCTTTACTTAAAGCAGAATTAAACAATGTACAATCTTCATTAGAAAAATTTTCATATTTGCAGTGTGTAGATACATTAAAAGCTATCAAAGACATTGATGCTTTTCAAAGCCAGATTGAATTGCAAGAAATAATGGAAATTACTGAAATTGCTGCATCATTTTCATTTGAAGATATGGATGAAGACATGGAAGAAGCTGCAATTAATGAGAGAGGTCATCCTGTAGAAACAGCAGAAAAGAGGGTGAATAATGCATCTCATGCAGTTTGTTTGAATGTGCCCACATCTCAAGCCCAAGAAGTTAACCACCGCCCATTAGAAGCCTCAGCAGAACTTCACATGACACCAATGAAAGACATTTCAGCACAGAAAAACATTCCTTCAACTCCAGTGAAGCTGGCAAAGCCATTATCACCTCCAGTTACCCCCATGTCTACTAATGCAGATACTCCAGGTTTCAATTCTCAGACCCTCAAACAAACTAACAAAGCTCGTCGGCAGTTGACATATGAAGGAAATAGTAAGAGGAAGTGGGACGGAACAAAACCTTATGCACAGATAAACATCTACAAAAGACTCTTTAAATGTGAGTACCTAGCACACAGAGCAGAATCAGACTGTCAGGCTATGTTACAAATTTGTGGATATTATGGAAATAAATTTGTGAATTGGGCTGACATGTTTGCAGAAAAATTTAATGATGTTAAGCCAATGTGGTCAAGGAGACAGGCTTTTAAACTTTCTTGACTTCAATCAATAACAGATTGTAATTTTAATATAATTTACTTTTTACAATTTATGTATACAAAAACTCATCAATTTTAATACAGCCTCTCCTCACTTAACGACAGGGTTCCATTCCTAAGAGTAGGTCAGTAAATGAATTGGTTGTTAAACAAGAAACATACTATACTAGTACATAGTGGGTTTGTGTCAACCATCTCTAGATATTTTTTAATGTTACCTTTGCACCATCTATAACATTTCTAGTATAGTGGTACCCCAAGTTTCAGTCATAATTCATCCCAGAAGGCAGTTCGAGTGCCGTTACCAAACGAATTTGTTCCCATAAGGAGTAATGTAAATTAGATTAGTCCATTTCAGACCCCCAAAAATACACTTACAAAAGTACAAAACTCGGGATACCACTGTATATGTATTTTTAAATGTTTAAACGGTAGTGTACTGTATACTGTAATAAACAGAATAGAGGAAATCAGCTCTAATATACATTACTTAGGTTTGCATACTGGTTGGAGAGCTGATTGTAAGTCTGAGCAGTCAGTAAACGAGTACGTCACTAAGTGAGAAGAGGCTATATTTAATTGGACATGGCAGAATTACCCATTTGTAATGATTTTAGACTTTTACTATTAGAAATTTTACTAATGCAGTGTTGATGGTTCCTTTAATGTACAAAAAAGTTCAGTTATATGTATAATATACTGTACATATGTGCTGAATATAACAACTTTAACTAGTTCACAATTCAAACTATTTATACACAGTAGGGCCCCGCTTTATGGCGCTTCGCTTTACGGTGTTCCACTAATACGGACATTTCAAATTATGACTAAAACTTGCTATACAGCTCCCCCCACCTAACTCTCTAATATGGTCACCATGTGCCACCCAGTTTGTTTACATTCTCCATTAGCACATCTCTCCATTATATCTGGAAACTTTCCAAAATTTCAAGTGTTTTAAAGTTACAGTAGACCCCCCAGTTTTCATAATTAATCCATTCCAGAAAGTTGGCCGAAATCCGAAATGGCTGAAAACCAAAGTAATATTTCCCGTAAGAATCACTGTAAATCCATTTACACCGTTTCAGACACTCAAAAATATTAACAAAAAATACATATTATAGAGAATAACCATAGTTTTACATTCAGAAAACAATGAGAAATAAATATAAATGACTAATTTTAATGATAAATGAATGTTACATACCTTTATTGAAGACTCGTATTGGTGAGTAGTATTTATTTGTAGTCTCAGGTGGACTACATCCCAGTGTATACCTACCGGCTACATACACTGCGGCCTACAGCCATATTATTACCATCGACATACTGTACCATGTTCACCGAGTTTAATCATTTCTCACAATTACCTTTAGATGTTATAAACAAAGGGAGAAATAATTAATAATTCATGCCAAGAATTGTAAACAAATGCTTATGTATTAAGGGCGGTTAATGGGCCAACGCAGATTCATACAGTTTTCTCTAACGCTGGACCAGAGAAAACGTAATGTTTACCCTCCACCGCATATAAACATTGCATGTTTATATATGTAACCCTTTTTCTTACATAATTTCGAAGAAAATATCATAGATGGATTAATAAAAATGTCTATATTAACCTAAAATAAGACATTTAATGTGCCCAAGAGTTATTACTATTATGTAATACTGTATTAGTATTACTATGGCATTAAGATTAGAGGGACACTGAGTGAACAGGTAACAAAGGCATGTTTATACGACATGTAACGTGTTTCATACATAATTTTGAAGAAAACATAGATGGATTAATGAAAATGTCTATATTAACCTAAAATAATGTGCCCAAGAGTGAGTCACGAATGTATGAGTAGCCTAGACGCACGCATCTGGTACCAACGATTTCTGAGGGAATGTATGAAACTTGGGGGGAAATTTCGCCAAAAAAAGTGCTCGAAATCCAAATTGTACAATTTCCGCACCAGCCGAAAACCGGGGGTCCACCATATTTCATATTTTATATGTACTCCTAGGTAGTAGGTTGGTAGACAGCAACCGCCCAGGGAGGTACTACTGTCCTGCCAAGTGAGTGTAAAACGGAAGCCTGTAATTGTTTTACACGATGGTAGGATTGCTGGTGTCTTTTTTTTCCTGTCTCATACACATGCAAGATTTCAGGTATGTCTTGCTACTTCTACTTACACTTAAATCACAATACACATACATGTACAAGCATATATATACACACCTCTCTGGGTTTTCTTCTATTTTCTTTCTAGTTCTTGTTCTTGTTTATTTCCTCTTACCTCCATGGGGAAGTGGAACAGAATTCTTCCTCCGTAAGCCATGCGTGTTGTAAGAGGCGACTAAAATGCCAGGAGCAAGGGGCTAGTAACCCCTTCTCCTGTATATATTACTAAATGTAAAAGGAGAAACTTTTGTTTTTCCTTTTGGGCCACCCCGCCTCGGTGGGATACAGCCGGTGTGTTGAAAGAAAGATATATACTCTAATAATTATACTTGTCACCCTGCCTCGGTAGGAGACGGCCGACTTGTTGGAAAAAAAAAAAAATTATACTTGTGTGTACCTGTACCTAAATAAACTTCACACACTACTGGCATGCAGGTACACCTTAACCCTTTCAGGGTCCAGACCCCCAATCTGAAACTTGTCTACAGGGTCCAAGAAGTTAAAAAAAAAAAAATTATTTTATGAAATGGTAGAGAATGCTTTTCTGAAGGTAATAAAACAAAAAGTATGAAATTTGATGGAAAATTTACAGAATTATGCTTGCAAATTTTGTTGCATCAGCAATTTTGCCCACTTTGACTCCCATTTTAGGCCAATTACATTATTCCAGTCAACCAAATTCTTAGCTATTTCACTAGTATTACTTCTATTTCATCGATTGAGCACAAGAAATCGCCCAGTCAACTGTTTCAACTACCCAATAAAGTGATAAGAAATTGGTAATTTGGCTAATTTCACACAAAGTTCAAAATATTCCAATTCCAAAATAAAGTTCAGAATAAACAATGTAGGCATTCCTGGCACCAAAATAACATTTCTTCTGTTTATTAGTTACATTTCCAGGCTTTATAAATGAATTCCATTTTGATTTTTTATTCACATGAATTTTTATTCACACCAAAAAACAGAAGATTTACTGTTATGAAATATTATAATAATTGTATAAATAATATCAGCGCATTCGTGAATGCACATTAGACCCACCAGCTGATGTATGTTGGACGCGTGACATCATTCGTTTACTCTTGAACATTGGCAAAAATCGAACATTTCCACTACTTTGAGCTCAGTTTCAAGTCATTTTTTCAGTACTGAAACCAATCAGAATAATCTCTATTTCTGTAATATATCTTCCATTCTATCACATGAGACCAAGAAACCATGAATACAACTGTAAACATGAAAAAAATGCAGTTGCTATTTTAATCCAAAAAACATAGTTTTTTTTTTTGTTGCTCACAGTTTATTTGCATACTCTGCATCTCTGTCCTCTCTCATTTACTTGTTCGCTCTCTCTTTTATTCATTTTATCTTGTTTGCTCACCTCTCACCCTACATTAAGACTACAGATTTTTAAGGTAAGTAATGAGTATACTGTACATGCATTTTATTCCTCTGTGGTGCTTTAAATGTACATTACGTGTGGGTGGACTGGCCATACCTACCACACCTGACCTCTTACAATACTGTAAATACTACTCACCTCTCACCTTATATTAAGGCTATAAATATTTTAAGGTAAATAATAAGTGTACTGTATAGGCATTCTATCGCTCTAGGGCGCTTTAAATGTATATTACATGGGGGTGGGGTGGCCATACCTACCACACCTGACCTCTTACAATAAATACTACTCATCTATCACTCTACATTAAGACTACGAATATTTTAAGGTAAGTAAGTGTACCGTGTATGTATTTTACTTTTTGTTGTTTTATAATGCTAGTTCTATTGCTAACTTAATATATGTTAGTGTAAACTTGTTATCTGGCATTTATATCATTTATAAGTGGAAAAAATGGCATTTTGCTTTCCGGCAGTAGCCTGGAGCCTAGCCTGCCATATAAGTGGGGCCCTACTGTACTGTATCATAAGATTATGTTTTAAAACCTGTAATAGAGCGACTCTTTTACAGTAGTGTTATATATAAAAGATGTAGAAGTGATTGTATTTTAATGCTTAGCATTTGCTTTCCTGCTTGACATGCATGGGATTGTGATCTAGTTCTGTCAGGTACTCAAAGTACAGTAGAAATAAATTAATAATTTTTGAAGCAAATTCTATTTGCCACAAATTAATTTGCAATTATAGAAAATTCTTCTGGCTAATAAATGGCCATTTCTTCAAACTTATGACTTGCCCTTTGTTAATATTAACGAATGGAAAGCAGAAGCAACAGCAGATCCTTGAAAACTATAAAGATCAATTAAAAATTAATTCCTGAAGACAGTTTATAGTAAGCTTGCTTTTTTTATGCTCTGAAAATTTTTATTCTGTGCTATCAGTTTGTATTTATGCTGTTGTAGTATTTTCATGTTATACTGTATATTCTGAATTAAGTTTAATTTTAAGGTTATTATGCAGTCTGTAATGTGATTTTTTTTTTTCACAAATTTTATAAAAAATTAAAACTGATGAAATAAAATACTTTATATATTTTGTGTATTTAATAAATATTCCTCACAAATTGTACATAACTTAAGCTCTAAAACTGTTCAAAATCTTTAAGTTAACTTTAAACGTTATCCATGTGATAGTATTAATTTGTCAAGTAAAATCGCCTTAGTCATGTAATGACCTGCTAAATAGTAAGAATTAAAAGTGTATCTGACTCTCTTCCAATACAATAGCTTTGGAACATTTATAATGCTGAGAACAAAGTAAAGATAATTATTAAACTAGCCTTTTTTTATCTTAAAACATACCATTTAGTATTACTGTATGGGAATAAAAGGTACAGTATTACCTTATATAGCTTGACCAGTATTGACTCCCTGAAGATCCTTATAAGCTATCTGCTGGTTGCCAGAAACTTGAATTATTACATTATTTAATTGTTAAACTATTTAGGTCAAAGAGTGCAAAATGAGAAACAAAGAGCCAATGTTAAAAGGCAGAAGTACAACAATGAGAGAAGGCATTCAGTTTAAAGAGCCAGAAAGAGAACCATAAAGGTGAAACATTCAGAGATAAAGACAGCAACAATGTCGGGACACCAAATGGGACTGAGAATGCAGTCAGTGTTCCTGATAAACAGCAATCTATCAAGAACTGTTAAGAGTTTTGCCAAAACTTGACATATATCGTGGTGGGTGCCCGTCCATGAAAAGACTATGTGCAAGTTTGATGTGATCAATGTGCAGTTATGAGTGTTTTTATCTCCAATGAAAAAAGGATGGCAAGAAGCCCACCTGTTACTTTAAAGACAAGTTGGTTACAAACTACATCAGTGATGCAATGTGACCATCTGAGATGTGTTCTTTTTTTAATTTTCTGTCAGGACTAGATAAAATACATGCAAGTACAAGTTTCCTCCCTACAAATCTGCAAATTTATTAACCATTTTTACTGATGAGCAACCAACAAATAGATAAGATTATCCGCGGGTTTTCTCGTATCATCTTCAGACATGGTATGCTACCCCTAAATTGAAAACCTATCATTTGTTTGTCACTAATAAGGGTTAACGATACTGCCAGTGATCTCATGTGAGTAAAGTTAACTTGAAACTAATTGCAGAATGGAAATATAAATAAAATTACATTTTGGAATAAAATAGTTGAGCATCTGCCACAAATGTTCTCCGGTGAATTAAAGCACACTGTATTCTGAATTATATGCTGTGTAATAGCAGTTGTTATATTTAAAGAGCACTCTTAGCAATAAAAGTTACAAAATACCCACAGTATAAACAATGAAAAAATATACAAAAAACACAAACATGTCAACACAAATACTAACATACCAAATTAAAATAACCAGCATCAGTTAAAAATCCCATTAACATATGGGACTCCTAAAAGTTCCACAAGGTAATTATAAAAACCATGACAAAGGCAGAAAACCTAAGACAGGGACAAACTGTTAAAAGGTGTTCCACAGCCAGCTACACAGTGACAGAAGGCTGGAGAACCCATCAACAGGTGACTGAGGAAGATACATGTGTCCAATTATTAATAAACAGATAAGTCATAAGGTGATGATTCCTGTTGAAAGAGGAAGCTTAAACATAAGTCCTGCTGAACCCCTTTATAATCCCACTTCTTAAGTACAGTGGACCCCCGGTTAACGATATTTTTTCACTCCAGAAGCATGTTCAGGTGCCAGTACTGACCGAATTTGTTCCCATAAGGAATATTGTGAAGTCGATTAGTCCATTTCAGACCCCCAAACATACACGTACAAACGCACTTACATAAATACACTTACATAATTGGTCGCATTCGGAGGTGATCGTTATGCGGGGGTCCACTGTATATATGTGCATATGGCCCAAAAGAGTCACTGGATATAAAAAAAATCTGATACAGAATATGCTCATTACAGCAGCCTTTGCCTCAGCAACTGTCTGCACTTAGTACAGGCCAAGCTCCTCATGGCATAGCTCCAGGGAAAGCTCACCTGACTCGACATACAAACTGGCTCTCGACAAGGGGAAGTATGGAATGTACCCATACAAGTGGTGAATGAGATTAGCAAGCACAACAGGGAAGAACTGGCCAAAGAATAGATATGGCAGTGATACTTAGCCACGAATGACAAGGCTGCATACTGGCAGAGCACTGTCTGCTGGTCCACCCACAGGTATAGTGGGATAGCATAAGGGGGTAAGATGTGTATATGCCAACATGCTCCAATGCTTCTGCTAAAATAAATCACAATATCATGGCCAGAATAATTAACCCAGAAATTTAAACAGAAAGCTTCAAGAGTCTTATCATACCTCTTCCTAAAGCTATGTATGGATCCTGCCTCTACCACTTCACTCTGGATTGTTCCACTTCCTGCCCACTCTAATGATGAAGAAATACTTGTTACATTCCTATGACTCATCTGAGTTTTCAACCTCCAGCTGTGCCCTCTTGTTCATATTTCCCATTTCTGAAACATTCAATCCCTATCAATTCCTCTCAGTATTTTGTACATCATTATCATATCCTCTTAGTCCTGTCCTCCAGTTATTGGGTTAAGTTCCCTTAACCTCCCCTCATAGGACATACCTCTTAGCTCCAGACTAGTCTTGCTGCAAACTTCTGCACTTTCTCTAATTTCTTGATATACCTAACCAAGTGTGGGTTCCATACTGATGCTGCATACTTCAATGTACAGTGTCGTGAATGGCTCCTTAGATGTCGAAAACCTATTTTTAGATTTGCCACATGTGTATTTGTTGCATCAGTTGTTTGGTTGATGCGAGCCTCAGGGGATATGACTGGTATGATACCCTAAGGTCCTTCTTGAATGAGGTTTAGAGCTTTTGCCCCTCCCCCAAGCCTGTATGGTGTCTGCTAGCTTTGTCTTTCCCCAGCTTCATAATTTTGCTCTTGGTGAGGTTAAACTCCAGGAAACCATTTGTCAGACCAGGCTGGCAGTTTGTCCAGATCCATTTGTAGCCTTTCCTGGTCCCTGTCTGCTTGTATTCCCTTTGTTTCACAGTGTCTGCAAGCAGAGATAACTGACTATCCCTCCTGTCATGTCATTCACATATACAAAAACCAGCATTGGCCCTAGAACTGATCCTTGTGGAACCCCACTTGTCACATGCATTCATTCCAGCATCTTGTTATGGATCACTTGTTGTTTTCTTCCTGTCAGGTATGCCTTGATCCACTGCAGTGCTTTTTCTGTTCCTGCCTGCACCTCTAGCTTTTAAACCAGCCTCTTGTGCATTACTGTGTTAAAAGCCTTCTTATAGTCCAAGAAAATGGAATCTATCCATCCTTCTCTCTCCTGCCTCACTTCAGTTACCTTGTCACAGAACTCCATGCTGGTTGTCATGTATGAACCCACTCTTCTCTAGGTGCTCCACCCCTCTTCTGATAATTTTTATTTTTTTTTTTTAACAAGTCGGCCATCTCCCACCGAGGCAGGGTGACTCAAAAAGAAAGAAAATCCCCAAAAAGAAAATACTTTCATCATCAGTCAACACTTTCACCTCACTCACACATAATCACTGTTTTTGCAGAGGTGCTCAGAGTACAACAGTTTAGAAGCATATACATATAAAGACACAACATATCCCTCCAAACTGCCAATATCCCAAACTCCTCCTTTAAAGTGCAGGCATTGTACTTCCCATTTCCAGGACTCAAGTCTGGCTATAAAAATAACCGGTTTCCCTGTATCCCTTCACTAAATATTACCCTGCTCACACTATACTGTATTCATACTATATATGTCAGTGACACTATTATGTAGTTTGTTTTGTGTATGTATATATCTTTTTTACAGTAACCATAATTTTATATTTAGTTTTCCTTTCAAAGGTAAATAGCTCTGTTATATGGCCTGACTTACCAAACTGAAATACAGTAAGGCATAACATAATTAGATCTATGTATTCAAATTGAAGCAAGAGGACGGATGGAAAGACCAGACGGACGGACGGACATGGATGTAGCATTTATAAGCCACACATTTTAACTGCTAATAATCTAATACTTTTGATTATATGTTTAACATCAACAAGATAATGATATCTGAAGCCTAACACTTTGCAAATGATAAAGGATTGAGTAAGTTGGATAATGCAGTCAATTAAAAATTCCATAGCAATTTTCCTCCTACTACTATTTAGTTCTGCCTAAACAGGCTGGTTTATTTGTCAGTACTAATTATGATGTAAGTGAACATATACCATCATATGTTTAACCCACTATTAATATCAACTGAATTCTTAGCTGCTGCAATATTTAGGAATTACTGCATTTACATTTTCGACTATAAATATCATAAACCCTCCACATAACAGACTAACAAGGGACAGTGGTTGACTAGTAATGGTAATCGTGGTGGATAGAAGTGTTTTGCCATGACTAACAATAATGGCCAACTCTAGAATCAACAGTCTCTGCCCATGGTTTCCAACTCTAATGATCTGGTGGATTTTGTTCCATATTTCCAGAGTTCATTATAAAAGTCTGTTATATGGAGTGTTTACTAAAGCAAATTCTGAATGCTTCTTATAGAAAGCTAACAAAAGACTACCGGGTATTCACATAAATTGGTGTGGGGAAAAAAAAGTAAAAGGTCTAAATATTCATATCCAGCAAGATATACAATATATAAGTAAAATACAATACAGTAGTCCCCCCATATCCGCGATGGATACCCAAAACCACGGATGGTAATGAACCCTATATATAAGTCATGATAGTTTAATTGATAAACTACACCCAACTGGTTGAGAATTAGCACCTCTTTCACTACTGGGAAGGACTTCATGGCTTCTTTTAGGTTTTGAAGAACTACCATCATCACTAATGCTTTGCACGGTTTCTTTTACTTCATCACTACTTTAATGCTTTGGTGCCATTATTTAGCAAAATTAAATGTTATTTTTGGGCTACAGTACACCGTGGATAACTGAAACCATGGAAACCAAATCTGCAGATACAGGGATTCTACTGTATTCTGATATTACTTTGCTGAATGTGTGGGCAACAATATTATTAGACTATATAAATGAATGAATAGCACAAGAAAATATTGTTATTATAATTACAGGAAGCGCTAAACCCAAAGGGTTTGTACAGTACATAGGAAATGGGAAGTACAGTAATCATGCTTGATCCAAGGAAGGGGAAGAAAAGCCCTCTTCCCTCAATCAAGAGCCTCTCATCAGTATCAAGGCACCTCCGTTGTGGGAAAGAAAATATGGAATGCACATAAGTGAACCTCTTATATAAACTACATACAGGAGAGCCCCGCTTTTACAGTGCTTTGCTTTACGGCATTTCGCTAATGCAGCAGTTTTCAATTATACCCATCCTTCATTTATTCAGACTTTCTACAATACATATATTCACCACTCACTATAAGCTAAGGACAAATATTTTAAGGTAAGTAATGTGTGTATTGTATATGCAGTTTTTAGGCCTAGCTGTACTGCTCATTTAATATATAATAGTGTAAACATGTTATCAGGCTTTTATATGCATTTGAAAGTGAAAAAACACCACGTTTCACTTTACAGTGATTTTTGTTTTACAGCAGTAGCCCGGAACCTAACATGCTGTATGAGCGGGGCCCGCCTGTACTGTCAATACTACCTCCAGCATTCAATGGTAAATGTATACAGTGCTAATCATAATATTCAAAAAATATGCGTATTATCATGCAGCCTGGTCATGGACCAGGCCACAGGGGCATTGACCCCCAGAACACCCTCCAGGTATAACATTTTAAAAACAACTACAAGTGTTAAGTCTAAAATACTGTACACTGAATATACTTTGCTGTATTTTCTTGTTCAACATAGCAATTGTTGTTCTACTGGTATGCTCAATAATGACCAGACCTCCATATTTTATAACTTGGAAAAATTGCTACTCCAAATATACAAATTATCATCATCATCTTTGACACACTGGTCTCATTATAATTTTAAAATGTCCTCCAAACAATAATAGTGTACAAGCATTATAATGACTAGAAAGTCTAAATGCACTGCAATACATGCATGTAAAATTCTTCATATAATACCCCTAAATACCACAATAATAAGGATCCCTTACCTTCCCTATGATCAAGAATAATTTCATGGCTTCTATTTTACTTCCCTTTTAGTTTATCAGTCGTTTTAAGAATACGTACTGTAATATACAGGCAAAATTTACTGTACCTTGTTTTATGTACAGTATACAGCAGTTGATATGCATACATGCATAGTAAACCCTCAATTTAATAGACTAATATGGGTGAGCTGGTGGTCAGTATTGGCAGGTGCTGGAGAGAATGACTGTTTTGCAAGGACTGTAATAATAATGGACAAGTTTGTAGCATACTGTTTCTGAATTGACTGACCTGCTGGATTTTGTCTTTTTTTTTTTATCTTTTATTAAAACATCGGCCATTTCCCACCAAGGCAGGGTGATCCAAAAAATAAGAAATACTTCCACCATCACTCATTCCATCACTGTAGTGTAGGCAGAGGCATGCCTACACTCCAGTTCAAAAACAAACATATCTCCACCCCTCCTTCAGAGCACAGGCACTGTACTTTCCACCTCCACACCTCAAGTTCGGTTAACTGGTTTCCCTGAATCCCTTCAAGAATGTTACCTTGCTCACACTCCAACAGCACGTCAAGTCATAAAAACCATTTGCCTCTACTCGCTCCTCTCTAACCCCCTCACACACAAAACCTCCAACCTTTCCCAGGACGACCCCTACCCAGTCTTCCTTCCACCACAGATTTATATGCCCCCAAATCATTCTATTTCATTCCATCCTCTCTAAATGTGCAAACCACCTCAACAATCCCTCCTCAGTCCTCTGGATAATACTTTTAGAAACCCCACACCTTCTCATCTTCAAGCTATGGATTTTCTGCATAATATTCACACCACATATTGAACTCGGATATGGCATCTCTGCTGCCTCCAGCCTTCTCCTTGCTGCAACATTCACCACCCATGCTTCACACCCATATAAGAGCATTGGTACCACTATACTGTACTATCAGACATTCCCCTCTTTGCTTCCATGGATAACATTCATCTCCACAGACTCCTCAGTGCACCACTCGCCTTTTTTTCGCCTCATCAATCCTATGATTCACCTCGTCTTTCATAGACCCATCTGCTGACAAGTCCACTCCCAAATATCTGAATACATTCACTTCCTCCATACTCCCTCCTTTCAGTCTGATATACAATCTTTCATTATCTAGATTTTTTGTTATCCTCATCACCTTGCTCATTCTTATGTTCACTTTTAATATCCTCCTTTTACATACCCTTCCAAACTCATACATCAACCTCTAACTTCTCTTCAGAATCTCCCAAAAGCACAGTGTCATCAGCAAAAAGCAATTGTGACAACTCCCACTCTGTGTTAGATTCTTTATCTTTTAATCTCACACCTCTTACCAACACCCGAGCATTCACTTCTCTTACAACCCCATCTATAAATATAATAAACAGTTATGGTGACAACATGCATCCCTGTCTATGGCCTACTTTTACTGGGAAATAATCTTCCTCTCTCATACATACTCTAACCTTAACCTCACTATCCTTGTAAAAACTAAGTGTTTTCAGTAACCTACCACCTATTCCATACACTTGCATCATCTGCTACATTGCTCCCCTATCCACCCTATCATATGCCTTTTCCAAATTCATAAATGCAACAAAAACTTCTTTACCCTTATCTAAAGCTTCCTTGTTCATCTGCGACCCTGCTGTCCATCTTACTTTGAACTCTTTCAATGATAACTACTATACACCTTACCAGGTACTATACTCAACAGGTTTCTTCTTTCTTTTTTTCAACACACTGGCTGCATCCCACTGAAACAGGGTGGCCCAAAAAGAAAAGAAAAGTTTCTCTACATAAATTTAGTAATGTATACAGGAGAAGGGGTTACTAGCCCCCTTGCTCCCGTCACTTTAGTCGCCTCTTACGACACGCATTCCTTACAGAAGAAATTCAACAGGCTTATTTTATTTCCTATAATTTTTACTCTGTCCCCTTTGCCTTTATATAAAGGAAATATGCATGCTCTCTGCCAATCCTTAGGTACCATCCCCTCTTCCATACATTTAATAAATAAAAGTACTAACCATTCCAAAACTATATCCCCACCTGCTTTAACATTTCAGTCTTGATCCTATCAATCCCAGCTGCTTTACCTATTTTCATTCTATCCACAGCCTCGTGCACCTTCCCCACACTCTCAACTGGCTCTACCTCACTCCTACAAGATGTTATACCTCCCAGGCCAATTCATGAAATTACAGTTTCCTTATCTTCATCAACATTTAATAGCTTTTCAAAATATTCCTGCCATCTTCCTGATACCTCTAACTTTCCATCTAATAAGTCTCCTCTTCTATTTTTAACTGTCCAATCCATTCATTCCCTAGGCTTTCTCAACTTATTAATCTCACTCCAAAACTTTCTTAGTCTTAGCAAAATTTGACAGCATCTCAACCAAAATCCATTAAATGGGGGCCCATTAAATCGAGAGTTTACTGTATATGTAAATATATCTATGTAGAGGTGTGTGAATGTGCTCTACAACCTTTACAAAGCAGATGGCCATGTTGAAATAAAAGTAACTGGAGCATTGCTGGCAGTACTGGTTTGCAGAGGAGGTAATTGAAGCAGCTGTGTGGCTAAAGGCGGACATGTTACTGGAGTTTCGCTTGGAAGGGTTACCATAGGATCTATCTTTGCCTGAACACCAGATACTGGTGTCTGCTGAAAAGGAAGTGAAGCTGCCTGAAGGCCACTATCAATAGACATTGCAGGTGATAGTCCACCTGACACTATATCCTGACTATGCTCAACACTGATGGGGTTGATACTTAATGTTGTAAATACTACAGGTGTTGAAAGACCAATTCTTCCTGTAGCTAGTGATCCAAGCTGTGGGTGCAAAAGTGGCAGTTCTGTATCCTGTGATAATGGAAAGTTCTCAGAAATTAGGCTGCCACTATGGGGTTGTGGTGGAGTTCCATTAGAAATCATAATTTCTTGCAAATGTGCTGATGCTTTCTGCACATTATAAACTGCTGGGGGGTTGCATTCCTTTAGAGTAATAACCACCATGTGTTCTTCATCTTCAATATCATCACCAACCTCAACTGTATTACATTCATCATTTTCAGTAAATGAATCTTGTTGAAATTCATCAACATGAACCCATCTCTGGTGGCGACTCAACGCACTACTTTTATGGAAGGATTTGCCACAAGTGCACCTAAGTGGCTTTTCTCCAGTATGTATCCCAAGATGATGCTTTGGGCTTCCTTTTCCTGTATAAGAGTTTGGAAACTGATGGCATGCAAGGGGCTTTGGTTTTGAGTGATGTGTTAGTTTATGACGCCGCAGTGCTTTTGGCGTGTCCATTGACTTACCACAGACTTCACATATTAGCTTGGCATCACCTGAACTATGAAAGCGCTTTTTATGCGCACACAAATTATTAGGACGTAAAAATGCAGAACCACAGTGAACACACACATACTTTTTTTCCTGTGTGTGAGTATTAATATGTAGATTCAAGTTATATGGGGTGTGGAACATAGCACCACAAAACTTACACGTATAGTTCCTAACTTCAGAATGAGTAAATTTATGATTTTTAAGAGCAGTTTTATCAACAAATCCTTTATTACACTTCTCACAGGTATACTTCACTGGAAGACCAACATGACACCTTTTTATGTGCATAAAATTAAGATAGCGATAAGTCCTGAAAAACTTATGGCAAATGTGACACTCAAAGAAACGAGAATCAGGATGTTTGCTTATGATATGTTGATCAAGAGAATTTTGACTTGATGCCTGAAAAAAAAAAATGGTTAATAAGATTACATAAGGTATAATGAAAGCAGTAAATGCTGATGCTGATGCAATAAAATACCTATATTGCTCTACTGGAAATTGTCTACTTTCATCCATCACTAACAAAATCTATCATGTAATGTTAATATTCACACCAAAATGTATTACAGAGGATTACAATAATGTAATAGCAGAGTACTGCTGGGAATGTGAGCACCATAATAGAACAGTTCATTACAACAAGCATATATAATACAAGGAACTTTTAGATTTTCTTTAGCATTGCACAGGACTGTGCACATCACTCATATAGGCAGCCAGAGAGTAACTGGATAGGTGGCTATGAGGGCACAGCTAATATGTCATTGTTTAGGGGGTTTCAATAAGCCACAGTCTTTCTTAACACAATACCCATGTTTAAATACATTTTAATTAATTTCTTAGTGTTATACTTTCTCTTGAGGATGTTTAGGATATCTTCTCCAATTTACCGAGTTAAATATGAAAAGCCATTGACAGACAATTATGTAGAAGTCAGATAAGATAGCATGTGATAAACAATCACTACATATGTATAAAATCATCTCTTCTCTATTATTTACTAAATAAGTAAATGGTATCTATGGATAAAAGAAAATTAAATGCTTTTTGTAATGGCCTCAGCAGTTATTATAACTGCATCTACATGTTCAAATATTTTTGTAATTTTTGTTATGGTAAACTACACTAGTTTGGAAATCTATTTAAGGGCACATACAAATTTTAATACTTAAAAATCACTTTACATAAAAAAAATTTAAACGAGAAAGAAATAACATGAATTCAGTAAGTAGTGACCCCCTTTAATTGAGGAATTTGTCTTGATGCCAGTGAAGAATTTTTCATCTAAAGACCTGGAGCTACCTTTCCTTTCTTTGGATCAAACCTGATTATCCCTTTTTTCCCAGGCACTATGACTAACAACTTATATTACCCACCTCATGGTTACATGCTGGGCACTGGTGGACTAAAACTTTATGGATGAGTCTGAGATGCTGCGTCAGCTTGGCTTTTTCTCGATAACGAGTGTCTGTACACTGCTTACAAACATGACAGTACACTGAAGCATGGACATCTCCGCGGTGTTTCCCCAGTTGTTTGTAATCATTGAATCTTTCCCCACAAAGCTCACAGGTAATCATGGTATTGCTTCCCTGGAATTATACCAAAGCAAGATCAACAAAAATAAGTGATTTTACTCATGATTTACTTAATCAGTTTTCCTTCTTCCACAGTATTTAAATCCTGTGTTGTGTCCATAGGACCTATTGTAGCTTTCTATGCATAATCATATGTCTTATCTAGAATTACAATGTAGGGTTTAATAGAAGTAAAGTACACATGACAGTGCATAAATAGCTTTCACATTTAGCAATTACTGTGACACAATATAAAAAAAAGTGAATAACAATAAATAAGCTAGACTAAGAAATATTGATTAAATGTAAGTAGTATATATTACAGTGATGAATGCTGGACTACCCACACTTTACCTGTGTGCTCTCCTCAGCCTCCAGCGGCCAGTCATCTTCAAAATCCTCCATAAATTTTGCATTTGCTTCTATCATGGCATTTGTTCCTTCGGCCTTCACCTTCTTTCTCTTGTCTCTCCGAAGCTTCATTTGTCCTAGAGAGTATATTTATTAAATTAGGAATACCCCATTATATTCATGGAAAAGTGCTAATCAAGACTATACAAGAGCAACAGAAATGATATACTGATTTAAAAGGGTTACTTCAACAATACACAGTATTTCTATATACTATATGGAAGTATATGTGCATCGGAGACTTCACTTCAAATCAGTACAACATGGACAGCATATGATATGATTATACATGTAAATGGCAATAAGTCAAAGACCCCAGTGGAAATAAGTCACTGACTTTTTTTTGGGGGGGAGGGGGGTTATCCCAGGTAATTAACACTATGTATGATAATTGTAATTATGTGTACCTGTGCTTAATTAAGCTTAATTGCTACTGTATTAGCAGCTTTTGGGTGTTTGCAGCTTAATACAATATAACTGCATCTAACATCCAAGATAGAGTGCATGGGTATTCCTTGCTGAACTCGTAATTTAATTACTGTACCAAAAGTAAAATATGACAAACTTATCTAACAGCAGTATCCGTGGGGCACTCAGGTTCAATCTAATAAGTTTATTTAGGTACAAGTACACAAACCATGCGTGTCGTAAGAGGTGACTAACATGCCGGGAGCAAGGGGCAAGTAGCCCCTTCTGTATACATTACTAAAGTTAAAAAGAGAAACTTGTTTTTCTTTTTGGGCCACCCTGCCTCAGTGGCATACAACCAGTCTGTTGAAAGAAGAAGTACACATAAATACAGTTACACAAATTATCATATATAGTAACATGTGTAAATTACCTAGGATAACCCAAGAAAAAGTCAGCGACTTATGTATTTCCAGTTGGAAGACGAAGACCAGTTCCTTACATCAAGCACCCCTCACCAACATCAAGGCAATCAAGTTTGACCCAGGGAAGGTTGTCTCCAATTTATTAGATCAAGAGGATCTCATCAGCATTAAAGTACCCTATCTTAAAAAAGTATATACTATTGTCAAGGTGTTTGCACAGACCTCTTCTGTGTTAGTTAAGCTGAAAAAAATTTTTAGCTAATGGACTATAGCTTTTAACCCGTAAACGGTCCAAGCAGATCTACGTTCACATGTGTAGTGCTACAAAAGTAGATCTAAGTTTTTTTACATATTTTCAAATATAACAAAAAAAAAATAGATCTAAGTTTTTTTACACATTTTCAAATGTAGAAAAACAAAAAGAAGATTACTTTTTTTACATACTTTCAAATGTTGAAAAAACATATATATACGTTTTGACCGTTTATGGGTTAATGTCAAAATAAGTATGGATATAAAAGGACAAAAATAATACTGTACCTTCAAATTGTAAGTCATCACTAAACATGACACTTACGTTTGTGCTGTGGTTGTTTTGTTCTGGATCTTCTGCTTCTACTTTCAGTTGAATTCTTTACATCTTCTGTGCATATGCTTACATCAAGATTATCTTTGCTTGTAAATAAAGGAGATACAGTCCCTCTTTTCTTTTCGTTCAATGAACAATCCCCTACAATGCTGCCTTTGGACTGGTCAAAATCTTTCGGTTTTACAATTTCTTGCTGAGAGTTAGCAAGTTGCTTTTTAGCTGTGCTTACTGGGCAATCTGCAAAAGAAGAATCAGAATCTGATCTTTCAAATGCATGTCTTTGGTCATCTTTATGAGAAGTACTATTAATGTCAGCATTATCTTCAAAATTATGTGGTGGTATTAAGTTGGTCAATATTCTGGTATGACCATATGACAGCTGGTTTGTTAGATCTTCCTTAATATCTTCCATTTTAACTAAAATGTCACTACCACACTCTTCATATTTAAAGGGAAACTTATTCTCACACTGTGATTTATTTGCTAGTAACAAATCCTGCTTTGAACAACCAGTAATATCAGATTCTTCACCAGGTACATTTATAAAAGTATTTTCACTATTTCCTCTATACTGACCAGAACTAGAGTCAACATTCCATTCACTGTTTGCACAAACATCGTACTCCATGTGATATTTGTCGTCAGATGCACCTCTGGGCTTATCTTGAACCATTAAGCTTCTCCCAATAACACTTCTACGGGATTCCAGCCCATGCTGGAATGTTTCTCGAAACTCATTCTTCAAAGTAACAATCTGAGATTCCAGGTTAATAATATTTAGCAGTATTTTGAGGCACGTAGAGCACACAACTTCCGAGGTCTGACACGCCTCGAGCAGGTCTTCAACGCTCACAACCCGAGATATCTGGCTGTGAATACTGTGATTCTTGGTGGCCAGATTTGAGTGTATGTTAACCAAAGCCTCCTTTATGATCTTGTTGCACACTAAACAAAAGCTATTTACATTGTACTCCACACTAGTTGCCATGACTGTGCCACCTCACGTCTTACATCTGCAAAAAACAAAAAAATATATAATCAATCATTACAGCAACATATTGAATACAAGTTCTGCACTGTATTTACAGTCATCTGGCTGTATACTGTATAAAGAACAAAGCCTAACACGATTAAATGCTAAAAATATATCTTTCTGCGAGGCCTTCAGCTGAGTTATCAGCAGTTGAAAACTGATGAAAATGTCAGCAGTGGCAGCTTAGCAGTGAAGCATTCCAAGTACTGTAACTGTTATATATCATTATTATCATAACTAAATGCTAAACCCACAAAGGTCATACAGCTTGAATTATATTATAGCTTAGGCAATCAATTTTTACATGTCTCTACTAAGCTTGCTGTAAGATGTACATTTGTATGAAGATTCGGCCAACTGCCCAGCAAGAAGCAGTGTATTAATACTTGCCCAGCAACAAGCAGTGTATTAATACACTTGTCCAGCAACAAGCAGTGTATTAATACACTTGCCCAGCAACAAGCAGTGTATTAATACACTTGCCCAGCAACAAGCAGTGTATTAATACACTTGCCCAGCAACAAGCAGTGTATTAATACACTTGCCCAGCAACAAGCAGTGTATTAATACACTTGCCCAGCAACAAGCAGTGTATTAATACACTTGCCCAGCAACAAGCAGTGTATTAATACACTTGCCCAGCAACAAGCAGTGTATTAATACACTTGCCCAGCAACAGCAGTGTATTAATACACTTGCCCAGCAACAAGCAGTGTATTAATACACTTGCCCAGCAACAAGCAGTGTATTAATACACTTGCCCAGCAACAAGCAGTGTATTAATACACTTGCCCAGCAACAAGCAGTGTATTAATACACTTGCCCAGCAACAAGCAGTGTATTAATACACTTGCCCAGCAACAAAGCAGTGTATTAATACACTTGCCCAGCAACAAGCAGTGTATTAATACACTTGCCCAGCAACAAGCAGTGTATTAATACACTTGCCCAGCAACAAGCAGTGTATTAATACACTTGCCCAGCAACAAGCAGTGTATTAATACACTTGCCCAGCAACAAGCAGTGTATTAATACACTTGCCCAGCAACAAGCAGTGTATTAATACACTTGCCCAGCAACAAGCAGTGTATTAATACACTTGCCCAGCAACAAGCAGTGTCTTAATACACTTGCCCAGCAAGAAGCAGTGTATTAATACACTTGCCCAGCAACAAGCAGTGTATTAATACACTTGCCCAGCAACAAGCAGTGTATTAATACACTTGCCCAGCAACAAGCAGTGTATTAATACACTTGCCCAGCAACAAGCAGTGTATTAATACACTTGCCCAGCAACAAGCAGTGTATTAATACACTTGCCCAGCAACAAGCAGTGTGTTAATACACTTGCCCAGCAACAAGCAGTGTATTAATAAGAACATAAGAACATAAGAACGAAGGAACACTGCAGAAGGCCTACTGGCCCATGCGAGGCAGGTCCAAGTCCCTACCGGCTTAAGCCAATGCACCCAACCTAGTCAGGTCAGGTCACATTGACTTAAGGGAGGAACACGGCAACCGACCTGTTAGCACAAGCTATCAGGTCCAACTCACACCCACCCACATCTACTCATGTATTTATCCAACCTATTTTTAAAGCTACAAACGTTCTGGCCTCTATAACGGTACTTGGGAGTTTGTTCCACTCATCCACAACTCTATTACCAAACCAGTACTTTCCTATATCCCTCCTGAATCTGAATTTTTCCAACTTAAAACCATTGCTGCGAGTCCTGTCTAGGCTAGATATTTTCAGCACACTATTTACATCCCCTTTATTTATTCCTGTCTTCCACTTATAAACCTCAATCATATCCCCCCTAATTCTACGTCTTTCTAGAGAGTGCAGTTTCAGGGCCCTTAGTCTATCCTCATAGGGAAGGTTTCTGATACATGGGATCATCTTTGTCATCCTCCTTTGTACATTTTCCAGAGAATTTATATCCATTCTGTAATACGGTGACCAAAACTGTGCAGCATAATCTAAATGAGGCCTAACCAAGGATGTATAGAGTTGAAGAACAACCTGAGGACTCCTATTATTTATGCTTCTTGATATGAAGCCAAGGATTCTATTAGCTTTATTGCGAACACTTATGCACTGTTGTCTTGGTTTCAGATTACTGCTAACCAGAACTCCTAAATCTTTTTCGCAATCCGTAATATTAAGATCTACATTATTTAGTTTATATGTGGCATGGTTATTGTCCTGTCCAACATTTAGAACTTTGCATTTGTCTATATTAAACTGCATCTGCCACTTCTCCGACCACTGCATCAGTCTATTCAAATCTTCCTGGAGTGCTCGAATGTCCTCGTCAGAATGAATTCGACGGCCTATTTTGGTGTCATCGGCAAACTTGCCGATGTCGCTCTTTATGCCCTCATCTATGTCGTTTATGTAGATTGTGAACAGCAGGGGGGCCCAACACTGACCCCTGTGGAACACCGCTCGTGACGCTTCCCCACTCTGATTTCTCCCCATTTATGCAAACTCTCTGCTGCCTATTTGTCAACCATGCCTCTATCCAGGAAAAAATTTCTCCTCCTATTCCATGTGCTTTAATTTTCCTCAATAGTCTCTGATGTGGGACCCTGTCAAAAGCCTTACTGAAGTCCATATACACAATATCATATTCATTACCATGATCTACCTCCTCAAATACCTTAGTGAAAAAAGTTAATAAATTCGTAAGGCAGGAACGCCCCTTTGTAAAACCATGCTGAGATTCGTTGATTAATTTATGCTTTTCAAGGTGGCTACGAACTGCCTCGGCAATTATTGATTCCATAAATTTTCCCACTATGGAGGTTAGGCTTATTGGTCTATAGTTCGAAGCTAAGGACCTGTCACCTGTTTTGAAAATAGGTATCACATTTGCCATTTTCCACTTATCTGGCACCATGCCAGTTTGTAGTGATATGTTGAAAAGATTACCCAAAGGTGTGCTAAGCTCCTCTTTACATTCCTTTAGAACCCTTGCATACAGTTCATCAGGGCCTGGGGATTTGTTAGGTTTTAATTTATCTATTTGCCTAAGGACCATGTCACTTGTGACCCTAATAGTGCACAGTTTATTATCGTCCTGTTCTACATAATTTATCATTACTGGAATATCGCTGGTATCCTCCTGTGTAAAAACTGAGAGGAAGTATGTGTTAAAAATTCTACACATTTCCTTATCACTGTCAGTGAGCTGACCCGAGGAACTTTTGAGTGGGCCTATCTTGTCCCTGATCTTACTTCTGTATACCTGAAAGAATCCTTTTGGGTTAGTCTTCGATTCTCTTGCAACTTTAACCTCATAATCTCTATTTGCTTTTCTAATTCCCTTTTTTATTTCTCTCTTTAACTGAATATATCGATTTCTTAATTGCCCCTCTCCTCTTTTGATTTGCCTATATATGCCTCTCTTTTGACCAATCAGATATTTTAATCTATTGTTCATCCATTTAGGATCATTTTTGTTTGATCTGATTTCCCTATTTGGAACATAATTTGACTGAGCAGCTAGAAACTATGCCCTGGAAAGCATCATATCGGCAACCATCACCACCTACCTGACCCCTAGTCAGGTCATTCCAGTTCAGCCCACCTAAGTAATTTTTCAGTCCTATGAAATCAGCCAAGCGAAAGTCAGGGACGGAGACTTGATTGCCATTATTAGGGGAATTCCATGATATGTTAAAACTGAGTGATTTGTGATCACTCTCCCCAAGCTCATCATTAACCTCAAGATTATTAATTAGTGTTTCCCTACTGGCAAGAACCAAGTCAAGGGGTTATTTCCCCTAGTTGGCTCTGTCACAAACTGTTTTAAAAAACAATCCTGGATCGTATCAAGAAAGTCACCCGACTCTAAATTTCCTGTCAAATTGCTCCAGTCAATCTGTCTATAGTTGAAATCTCCATTAGCACAACATTTTCGTATGTAGATGCCTTACGAATTTCGTCCCATAGAAGTTTACTGCACTCCCTATCAAGATTTGGGGCCCTGTAAATCACACCCAAAATTAGTTTTTCTCGGCCCTCGAGAAGCTGTAACCAAACAGATTCAGTGGCTGACGCTTCTAATTTAATATCTTGTCTAACACAACAATTTAAATTGTCTCTGACATACATCGCTACTCCACCACCTTTCCTGTTGACCCTGTCAGTGTGGAATAATTTATAGCCTTGTATGTGACATTCAGAGGGCATCTCTCTATCTTTCAGATTGAGCCAGGTCTCTGTTATAGCAATAATATCTATGTTTCCTGCACTTGCAATTAATCTTAGCTCATCTATCTTATTTCTAACACTCCTGCTATTAGTATAGTAAACCTTAAGGGAGCTAGTCCCTTGCTGCCCTCTGCTGTCCCCCTTTGTTTGCTGACCTGTTCTATTGTCTTTATTTATAACTTCATGCTGAATGCCTTTTATACATTTACTGTTTCCAACCCTAGTGTTGCAACCTGCTTGTTTCCCACACACACCCATACCTCTATCTTCCATCAGTTTAAAATCATAGGCATTTCACCAATGGCCTTCTCAATCGAGTCTGCAAGTGCTACCACCCCTGCCCCAGAGAGATGAACCCCATCCCTTGCATACATATCATGTTTGCCATAAAAGTTGTTCCAGTTGTCAATGAATGGGATTGCAAGTTCCTTGCAGTATCTGTCTAGCCAGCAATTTACACCAATTGCCCTAGACAACCATTCATTTCCTACTCCCCTTCTAGGCAAGATGCTACATATGATTGGGATCCTCCCTTAGACTTAATGAAATCTATAGCTGACCTGTACTTATCTAGCAGCTCTTCTCTCCTACCCTTCCCAATATCATTTCCACCAGCACTGAGACAGATAATGGGCTTGTTCCCATTACCTGACATGATATTATCCAGTCTGTTGACAATGTCCCCAACACCAGCTCCAGGGAAGCACACTCTATCTCTCATCTTCTTATTCCTATTACAAAAAGCACGATCAACATATCTTACCTGAGAGTCACCAACCACAAGAATGCGCTTACCTTCATTAGCAGGGGCAGTAGTACCCTTACCTTCACTGGCCACTGAAGTACATTCATCCTGGAGAACAGAGAAGCGATTTCCTACCTTCAGATCTGCACTCTTAACTTTCCTTACTCTGATGCGCCTCCCATTACTGTGAACAACTCGCCACTTGTAGCAGGTGCTGGGCTGCACCTCACTGCTGGTAGCCGTTGCTACCACCCCACCTACAGCCTCCTCACAGTGAGAGACAGACTGCACCTCACTGCTAGAAGCCTCATTCCCCACATCTCCAACCACCTCACACTCTCTCCCAGGCCCATTGAGGTGGACCTTCAGCCTCCTAATCTCCTCCTGGAGAAGCAAGACCTCCTCCTTCAACTCTCCAACCTCAGCTTTTAAAACACTGTAGAAGCAAGCCATGCTTTGTAACCGTCCACGCTAATCCCCAATCAGCTCAGGGTCTGTGACCTCACGTGACGACTGACCACTGACCACTTGTCCAGCAACAAGCAGTGTATTAATACACTTGTCCAGCAACAAGCAGTGTATTAATACATTTGTCCAGCAACAAGCAGTGTATTGATACACTTGTCCAGCAAGAAGCAGTGTATTAATACACTTGCCCAGCAAGAAGCAGTGTATTAATACACTTGCCCAGCAACAAGCAGTGTATTGATACACTTGTCCAGCAACAAGCAGTGTATTGATACACTTGTCCAGCAACAAGCAGTGTATTAATACACTTGTCCAGCAACAAGCAGTGTATTAATACACTTGCCCAGCAACAAGCAGTGTATTAATACACTTGCCCAGCAACAAGCAGTGTATTAATACACTTGTCCAGCAACAAGCAGTGTATTAATACACTTGTCCAGCAACAAGCAGTGTATTGATACACTTGTCCAGCAACAAGCAGTGTATTAATACACTTGTCCAGCAAGAAGCAGTGTATTAATACACTTGCCCAGCAACAAGCAGTGTATTAATACACTTGTCCAGCAACAAGCAGTGTATTAATACACTTGCCCAGCAACAAGCAGTGTATTAATACACTTGTCCAGCAACAAGCAGTGTATCAAGACATCCCATGGGATAAAAACGAAGATAATTCTACAGTGGTGCTCAACTCTGGGGACAGAACAAGATGTCAACACTACACCAACACCAACACCAACACCAACAAACACCAACACAAGAGTCACACCTGAAATCCAGCTGCACAACTTTGTAAAAAAAAAATAAAATGATCATTGAAGCAGTGTAGAAGTGTAAACATTGATGATGATCCAGAAGACGAGACACTGACCGTCTCCATGATGGTCCTTCTTGGCAATGACAATGTTGTTCTTACTACCACCAGATGGCAGTAATGTGTTTCCTCTTCTTACCTCTGTAATGTTGTTGTTCTTACTACCACCAGATGGCAGTAATGTGTTTCCTCTTCTTACCTCTGTAATGTTGTTGTTCTTACTATCGCCAGATGGCAGTAATGTGTTTCCTCTTCTTACCTCTATAGTGTTGTTGTTCTTACTACCACAAGATGACACTAATATGTTCCACTTTCTTAAGTAAGTAAGTAAGTAAGTTTATTCAGGTATACACAAATACAGTTACATAGAATTATCATACATAGCAGCATATGTGTAGAGAACCTAGGATAACCCAAAAAAGTCAGACAGAGTGACTTATTTCCATTGGGGTAATATTGTTGTACTTACTACCACAAGATGGCAGTATTAAGTCTTACCTTCTTACCTCTGTAATGATGATGTTATATTTACTACCACAAGATGGCAGTAATATGTTTTCCCTTTTTACCTCTATATGAAACTTGAACTGTATGAATCCTACGAGCTTAGCGCTCTCCCTCCCAAATACACACATGGGCTGCGATTATTTGTACACGCTAGCATACTAACCCAGCAACCAGTGAAGAGGCGGAGACAGGAGCTGTGAATCGACCCCTACAACCTCAAGTAGGTGAGTACACACACACATACACACACACACCAAAAGACTCCAACCGCGACATTCCCAACGCAACTGAGCAACCTATACTACAACCCACTCACTGTTCCCTCTGCCACCAACCCCCATATCACAAACCTCACCCCAACAGCTGTCCCTTATGGGCATTCTGACCCCACCCCCATCATCACAAACCCCACCTACACCACAGCCCCATATAGGCCCCCACCAAGGCTCTCGCTCCCCCAACCCCAATATTCTTGCATGACCACAATGATAGAAAAGAAACTGAAAGTTTGGTACACAAACGCGGATGGAATAACGAATAAACATGAGGAGTGAAATGAAAGAATCAGTGAAAAATCCCCAGACATCATAGCAGTCACAGAAACAAAACTCGCTGAGACAATAACAGACACAATCTTCCCAACGGGATATCAGATCCTGAGGAAAGATAGAAGGAGTAGAGGGGGAGGAGGGGTTGCACTGCTCGTAAAACACCGATGAGGATTTGAGGAAATGGAAGGCATGGACATGATTGGAGAAAGAGACTACATTGTAGGTACAATTCAGTCCGGAGAACATAAAGTAGTCATTGGAGTGATGTATAACCCACCACAGAACTGCAGGAGGCCAAGAGAGGAGTACAAAGAAAACAACAGGGTGATGGTGGACACACTGGCTGAGGTGGCAAGAAGAGCTCACTCGAGCAGAGCAAAGTTACTGGTAATGGGCGATTTCAACCACAGGGAGATTGACTGGGAAAACCTGGAGCCACATGGGGGTCCCGAAACATGGAGAGCCAAGATGATGGATGTGGTACTTGAAAACCTCATGCATCAACATGTCAGGGACACAACCAGAGAGAGAGGGGAGGATGAGCCAGCAAGACTGGATCTTGTGTTCACCCTGAGCAGTTCAGACATTGAGGACATCACTTACGAGAGGCCCCTTGGAGCTAGCGATCACGTGGTTCTGAGTTTTGATTATATAGTAGAGTTACAAGTGGAGAAGGTAACAGGAACTGAAGGGGACAGGCCAAACTATAAAAGGGGGGACTACACAGGTATGAGAAACTTCCTGCAGGAGGTTCAGTGGGACAGAGAAATGGTAGGAAAATCAGTAAACGAGATGATGGAATATGTGGCAACAAAGTGCAAGGAAGCAGAGGAAAGGTTTGTTCCCAAGGGAAACAGAAATAATAGGAAGACCAAAACGAGTCCTTGGTTTACCCGAAGGTGTAGGGAGGCAAAAACTAAGTGCAACAGAGAATGGAAAAGGTACAGGAGGCATAGGACCCAGGAAAACAAGGAGATTAGTAGAAGAGCCAGAAACGAGTATGCAAAGTCAAGGAGGGAGGCCCAGCGACAGTATGAAAATGACATAGCATCGAAAGTCAAATCTGACCCGAAACTGCTGTATAGCCACATTAGGAGGAAGACAACAGTCAAAGACCAGGTGATAAGGCTGAGGAAAGAAGGTGGAGAACTCACAAGAAACGATCAAGAGGTATGTGAGGAGCTCAACACGAGATTTAAGGAAGTATTTACAGTAGAGACAGGAAGGACTCTGGGGGGACAGATCAGATGGGGACACCAGCAAGGAATACACCAACAAGTGTTGGATGACATACATACAGATGAGGAGGAGGTGAAGAAAATGCTAAGGGACATCGATACCTCAAAGGCAATGGAACCGGACAACATCTCCCCATGGGTCCTTAGAGAGGGAGCAGATATGTTGTGCGTGCCACTTACCACAATCTTCAACACGTCCCTGGAAACTGGGCAACTACCTGAGGTATGGAAGACGGCAAATGTAGTTCCCATTTTTAAAAAAGGAGACAGAAAAGAGGCACTAAACTATAGACCTGTGTCATTGACGTGTATAGTATGCAAAGTTATGGAGATTATCAGGAGGAGAGTGGTGGAGCACCTGAAACGGAACAAGAGTATAAATGCCAACCAGCACGGATTCATGGAAGGCAAATCCTGTGTCACAAACCTTCTGGAGTTTTATGATAAAATAACAGAAGTAAGACACGAGAGAGAGGGGTGGGTTGATTGCATCTTCTTGGACTGCAAGAAGGCCTTTGACACAGTTCCTCACAAGAGATTAGTGCAGAAGCTAGAGCATCAGGCGCATACAACAGGAAGGGCACTGCAATGGATCAGAGAATACCTCACAGGGAGGCAACAATGAGTCATGGTACGTAATGATGCATCACAGTGGGCACCTGTGACGAGTGGGGTCCCACAGGGGTCGGTCCTAGGACCAGTGCTATTTTTGGTATATGTGAACGACATGATGGAAGGGTTAGACTCAGAAGTGTCCCTGTTTGCAGATGATGTGAAGTTAATGAGGAGAATTAAATCTGATGAGGACCAGGCAGGACTTCAAAGAGACCTGGACAGACTGGACACCTGGTCCAGCAAATGGCTTCTCGAATTTAATCCTGCCAAATGCAAAGTCATGAAGATAGGGGAAGGGCACAGAAGACCACAGACAGAGTATAGGCTAGGTGGCCAAAGACTGCAAACCTCACTCAAGGAGAAAGATCTTGGGGTGAGTATAACACCGAGCATGTCTCCGGAAGCACACATCAATCAGATAACTGCTGCAGCATATGGGCGCCTGGCAAACCTGAGAACAGCATTCCGATGCCTCAGTAAGGAATCATTCAAGACACTGTACACCGTGTATGTCAGGCCCATACTGGAGTATGCAGCACCTGTTTGGAACCCGCACTTGATAAAGCACGTCAAGAAACTAGAGAAAGTACAAAGGTTTGCGACAAGGTTAGTTCCAGAGCTAAGGGGAATGTCCTATGAAGAAAGATTAAAGGAAATCGGCCTGACGACACTGGAGGACAGGAGGGTCAGGGGAGACATGATAACGACATATAAAATACTGCGTGGAATAGACAAGGTGGACAAAGACAGGATGTTCCAGGGAGGGGACACAGAAACAAGAGGTCACAATTGGAAGTTGAAGACACAAATGAGTCAGAGAGATATTAGGAAGTATTTCTTCAGTCATAGAGTTGTAAGGCAGTGGAATAGCCTAGAAAATGACGTAGTGGAGGCAGGAACCATACACAGTTTTAAGATGAGGTTTGATAAAGCTCATGGAGCGGGGAGAGAGAGGGCCCAGTAGCAACCGGTGAAGAGGCGGGGCCAGGAGCTAAGACTCGACCCCTGCAACCACAAATAGGTGAGTAAATAGGTGAGTACACACACATACACACACATACACACACATGCACACACTCACACTTTCTCACACACTTTCTCACACACACAGATACTCACACACACATACAACAGGCCTAGTGTCTAATCGACATGTGCATAGGACAAAATGGTAACTAACACACACGGGAGGTAGGAACCATACATAGCTTTAAGACGAGGTATGACAAAGCTCAGGAAGCAGAGAGAGAGAGGCCCTAGTAGCGATCAGTGAAGAGGCGGGGCCAGGAGCTGAGTATCGACCCCTGCAACAACAATTAGGTGAGTACAATTAGGTGAGTACACACACACACTCTGGATGGTGAAACGTCTAAAAACATGCTCAGATGTTGCAAGTGTTTAATTCTTCTTGTCGATATTGTATACCATTCATGTACAGAACAATGCTGAATTAACCAGAACAATGCTGAGTGAGTCAGAACAATACTGTGTGAATCAACCAGAACAATGCTGAGTGAGTCAACCAGAACAATGCTAAGTCAGCCAGAACAATACTGAGTAAATCAACCAGAACAATGCTGAGTCACCCGAAACAATGCTGAGTTAGTCAACCGGAACAATGCTAAGTCAACCAGAACAATGCTGAGTGAGTCAGTACAATGCTGAGTGAGTCAGAACAATACTGAGTAAATCAACCAGAACAATGCTGAGTGAGTCACCCAAAACAATGCTGAGTGAGTCAATCAGAACAATGCTAAGTTAACCAGAACAATGCTGAGTGAGTCACCCAAAACAATGCTGAGTGAGTCAACCAGAACAATGCTAAGTTAACCAGAACAATGCTGAGTGAGTCAGAACAATACTGAATAAATCAACCAGAACAATGCTGAGTCAACCAGAGCAATGGTGAGTCAGCCAGAACAATGCTGAGTGAATCAACCAGAACAATGCTGAGTGAGTCAACCAGAACAATGCAGAGTCAACCAGAACAATGCTGAGTGAATCAACCAAAACAATGCTAATTCAACCAGAACAATGCTGAGTGAGTCAACCAGAACAATGCCGAATGAGATAATCAGAACAATGTTGAGTCAGCCAGAACAATGCTGAGTGAATCAACCAGAACAATGCTAAGTGAATCAACCAGAACAATGCTAAGTGAATCAAC